GCCCCCAACCCGCTCGCGGGGTCCCTTGTCCACATCGACGGTGGGCGAAGGAGGTGAAAACCTTCCGAGCCTACTGCGACCCCGCGGCCCCCCGAATCCCCCGGCACAGGCGGTCCCGGGTCTCCTGTCAGAGAGTGTTTATTCATCGCATAAACAGAAGCGAAAGGAATCAGGTGGGCAGATCCAATAGCTCGGGGGAACCTTACGGGCCCTCCAGCATGGAGTTACCGTGCTCACCGAAACCAGGACATCCTTACAACGTTGTGACTGTATTTATAAACAACTCGCCATGGTTTCCAGCTTGGCTTTGCCTTCCATTAAGGGAAATGCTCTTTTACATAATATGATCACTGTTCTAATTTCCTCTGTCCCCAGCACTTTCCCTGAGTGACAGCGTGACATAATTAGCAGACGCCTAAAAAGTCAACTTCTAGACGAAGCGTTCACCGCGATTTCAGGAACGCAGACATGCAACACTTGATTTGAACACATACGGGTTTCATCCAGATAACGTGTTCAGAGTACAGCGACCAAAAGGGGAAATAAGTAGATTTGAATAAATGAAGAAAAAAATATTGCAGTTACACACTGGGATGCCACAATTACTCCCTGCACTTCCCCCCGCAGTGCAAGAGCCAGCGCTGTAAAAAGATGCAGGGCTGCATCCTACTGACTCCTTTCTTGCCTTCTGCGCTCCCTGTCCCCTAGGTTTTCTTTCTGAAGGGAAAAAAATAATCAAAAAAAAAAGAAAAATAAAAAAAAAAAACACGAACAAAAAAAAAACCCAAAACAAACAAAAGACTAAAAAAGAACCAACAAAATGCATCAAACACGAACAAAAAAAAAACCCAAAACAAACAAAAGACTAAAAAAGAACCAACAAAATGCATCAAGTTCTGGGTGTTGGTACAGGAACCACTGGCTCAGGAATCCAGTTAAGAAAGAGAAATTTTGCCCTTAGACTGATCTCATCGCTCAGGATTAAGCAACACAGAGCTCCACACTGGAAAAGCCGTGAACAAAAGCCGCATGTCTGTAGCCCTGGAAGATCCTGGACCCACAAACCGGAGACAGACAGCCTGGCCCAAGGAAAGTGCATTGCATTGATTTGGAAAACAAGTAATTGGTAAGAGACTAGATTCGTTTGGTTTTCGTTAAACCAGCTCAGGACCAAGAATCCAGGGCTAGTCCAAACCCTGCAACTTTTCCCAGTGGCTGGAGCCACTGGGGATGCAAACTCAAGAGAGAGCGAGCCTGAGGGCACTGATTCGGTTCCTTCTTCCCCAGCCCACACAGGCCCCACAGCCCAAGACAACGGCGATCTACAGATGGAAAATCTCTGGATACTTGCAGGTGTGCAGACACCCAAGTAGTGTAAGGAGATGACTGAGACAAGACAGGAGGTCTTGCGAGGAAGTGAACCTCGTCCCGTACGGGTGCGGGGCTTCCCTCTCCCAGCCGTCCCTCCCTCCTGCTCTCTCCTGCCAGCAGCTGGGGGGGAGGGAGTGTGAGCGGGCGCGGGGCAGCGTGCTGCGGGAATCGCGCATCCCCGCTGTCCCCACGGCCCTGCGAGGTCCCGCAGCGCCGCGCCCGCCCCGCCGCGTCCCGCGGGCAGCGCGGAGGGACCTGCCGGGTGGGCGCTAGGATGCGCCGCCCGAGCACCGACCGCGCCGTGCCCGGCGGGACCTGCCGGGAGTGGGCGCCCGGCTCACCGCGGCCCTGGTCTCGGTGCCCGTTTATCACAAGCTGACCACAGTGGCAGTATTAATGTCTCACAGGACTTGTTTTAGCGGGAGAAAAGACTCCAGAGAGAAGCACCCAGCCACATGCACTTGCGTTCGGTGCAGTCTCTGATGAAGGAGTCCGTATGCCAACACTCTCTCGTTAAAACAGCCCTAATTCTCCGTATTCAGTATTTTCGTCCTGCTGTGTGTACCGTCAAACATTTAAAAGATCTCTCCTGTGTGTGAGTGGTGAGCGCTCCCACCCACACACATCCTTGGCTTTACTGTTGAGAGGGACGTATTGGAAAAAGACGCAGTCCCCGTCGGAGGGTCCCGCTGGAGTCTCTCGCTCCGCTCTCGGCCTCGGCAGGACCAGACCGGGGCCACCCTGCCCGTCCCTCGGCAGGTTCCTCTTCCGAGACTGCGACGACTCCCCGCGGGGTCCTACCCGGCGCCCCAAAAGGGGGCACATCCCTCCGATGTGCATGGAGATGGCAGCGGGAGAGCGGGGATCGCAGAGTCGGGAATTCCCTAAAGACTGCGTGTCCGCCTGTTTACATCTCTTCAGAAAACGATGCAGGAAATATTCACTAAAATATCGAGGGCGTGTAATTTAAGCGATGAAGTTTAGATTGGTCTTCGGAGAGATGGGTGATACAAGTGCACGGGCGATGCACGGGTGAATCCTGGATAAGTAAGCCCATGCACTTTCCACGTCCACCTTGTAGACGTTATCGCGTTTCTTCTCGGAAATAACGCCTCTCCTTAATTAGTTCGGCAAAACCGCTAGCCTCTCGCGAAGCCCCTCCGGCCATAGCAATAACCCGGCTCTGCTGCCGGACTGTTCTCTGGACGCGTTTTCCTCTTGACTCCTCGCACCTCCCGCGCCCCGGGGCCGCTGACCCAGCCTGCGCAGCCCTTGGGGAGGCCCCAGGTGAGCTCCGACAAGCACCGCACCCCCGCAGCGCGTCCCACTGCCCCGCCTCCGCGGAGACCCTCGCACTGTGCGGGCTGCCCCGGAGCCTGGGGGCGGGCGAGGAGACCGGGGCGGCCAGTGGAGCCGCACCCGCTCGTCTCCTGGTGGAGCCGGCGCCGGACACGGTACAAAACACGGAGATTTCCCGCACACTGCTTTTCCTCCAACACCGCAGTATGAATTACCGCTGCTCGTAATCTCACGATCGTCGCGGGGCACAACGCGGAGACTGACTTTGTAGGCTCCTACCGCAGTATTTCCAAAGAGAAAAGGTACACAGGAAGGGAGTTATTTCATAGAAATCTAACCCTCAGCTCTCCGCGGAGCGCACACCAACCTCGTGAATTAACTCGTTGACGGCGCAGGAAAACGACCGACAAGCAATAACTTCGACTCTGCTCCCGGCCGTGCCCGGGCTCTCATCACGGTGGCCCAGCTCCTCCACGATGCATCCCTCGGAGCCCCCCGTCAGGTGCTCATTTTCTGTCGTGCCGTCCGCGACAGACGATAGCGGTGCTGTCGTGCCTCTCTCATTCACGGACGGGGAGATCCGCGCGGAGGGCAGGATGGGAGCCCGGTGGGATCCGCGCTGGAGCGGCTCCGAGCCGAGCGCTCCGCCCCGCCGCGACCCGCGGGGCCCCCCGAGCACTCGGCTGGTGGCGCCCCGACCAGCCCCTCCGCGGACGGGGAGCGGGGAGCAGAGCCCGAGCGGGATCCCCGCTGCGTGGGGGCCCCAGAACGCGCCGCGAGGGGCGGATACCGGGCGCTCTGCGGGGCCGCAGCCCATCGCCTGCGGAGCGGGTGGTCGGGCCGGGCCTGGGGGCCGCGGGACCTGACCCCGCGAGTCCGCTCGACCGGGTCCGAGCTGAGGATTGCGCGAGCAGCCCCGGGCCATCCGGGGAGACGCCCGAAAACCGGCTCCGGGCCAGCATGGGGGCGGGCCGGGGCCGGGCCGGGACTCCCAGGGGCCGGCAGTGTCCATATTCCCCGCCACCACTCGGGGCTCCGGCCGCTGTGCCGAGCGTCGGTCGCCGTGCACTAAGCCACGTCGCGGCCAGAACAAACTCCAGAGCCCTACTTGCCTCGTTGAGGTAGCGGTGTCGGGGACAGCGGGAGCGAATGTCTGTGAGATTCTGCCAGGGTTCGATCGGTTAAAAGCGCTGGACAAACGAGTGACTGACGGGACATCCTGGCATTACCGTGACTCGGCAGAGCTGCTCGTTCACTTATGGTCCTGCAGGATCGAGCCCGGGGATTTCAAACAACGATCATCTTTTTTAGAGGGAGAAAAATAGGGGACTTCTCCTTTCACACAGCTCCTCAAAAGGAGAATTCCCTTTTATCAAGCCCATCGTGTTTGTAAACGTACGGGCAATTCTCTCAGTTCGCTTTACCGAGACTCAACGACGCGTTTCTGCATCCATGGTCAGGCGGGGCTGAAACAAAGAGGTAAGGGAGAAGATGGAAACATAACGATAAGTTTAATTAAAAGCAGCTGGCTTGTTAAATACGTGCCGAGGAGCAGACACCCGGTTATTTACCTCATTTGTGATGGACAAGCTGCTGCTTTATTCTCCTCTAATGCCCGAGAACTGCATCAGTGTTTGGTGTGAGGGAATACTGCGGACAAGATTTGTGATCGTGGAGAACGGGTGCCGTAACTCACGGCCGCTCACGGAGAAACGCGGGCTAGTTCTGCAGGTAGTGGGGGCAGCCAGCCTCCGCACCCTCTGTTCGGGATGCCACCGGGACGCTGGTGTTAATCTGCAGCACCTGTGGGAGCTCAGAGCTGGAGAAACGCTTCGGCAGCTCAGGTGCTTCTATTTTAGCTTAATGAGAAAGGTTTTATCACGGGATCTCGGAGGCATTATTAGGAGGACAAGTAGTGAGGTGGGTGTAGGAGTTGGGAGTGTGAGCTATAGGAATTCGCCTGGGCTTTGCGATTTGGGAGTGTGGAAAAATCGTTCCTGTCATATGGACTCTCGCTTTCCGCCGTATTTATCTCCTTCGCTCATAGGGAAACGTAATTGGAACCTGTGTTTAGACTGGGGCGGCGGGGGGAAGTTGTGGTAAATGATGAAGACGAACGGGGGGATTCTCTGGGGGTTTTTTGTTGCTGTTTTTTGTTGTTGATGATGTTGGGGGGGTTCTCCCCCCGCACTAAACCCGTGCGGGCTCGCTGGTGGTGATAACGGCCCCGACGCGCTGGAAGGCGGGTTCTGCGCAGGAGGTGAGGCCAGCGGGGCAGGTCCACCCACTTGAAAACAAAACTTTTTTCCTGCAGGCGCTGAGAGCAGAGATCGGCGCGGGGTCCCCGGAGCCGGCTCGCCGCCCACCGGGGGCTGGTATGCGGTAGGGCAGGGCCATGTACTGGAAGAGTGACCCGATGTTCGTCTGCAGGCTGGAGGACAAGGACCTGCCCGCGCTCGGCGGCCCCGCGGAGAAGGTGCGCGGGCGGGGGGCGGCGCGGTGCGGTTGGTGGGTCTGGCGGCCCCGGGTGCGGCGCTCCCGCCGGGCCCCGCGGACACCGTGGTGGCGGGGCCCTCAGGTGCCGGTGGGCCGGGCCGGGCCGGGCGGTGAGGGGTTCCCGGGCGGGGCCGGGCGTTGATCGCGGTCTCCACGCGCTCCCGCAGGCCAGCCCCGCAGCGGCTGACGAGGACTCCTGCTCTTCCTCTGCCGCACTGTCGCCCTCCTCCTCGCCGCGGTCCATGGCCTCGGGCTCGGGCTGCGCCACCGGCAAGTGCGTGTGCAGCAGCTGCGGCCTGGAGATCGTGGACAAGTATCTGCTCAAGGTAAGGGCGCCCGACCCGGAGCCCCCCGCGGCCGGCGCATCTCCCCTCCGCCGGGCTCGGCGCTCGGGCTGCCGGGGGGAGCCTGCCGGGACCGCCTCGGCGAACCGGGCCCGTCGGGCTCCGAGGGTACAGCTCCCCGGGCCGGGCCCATCGCTGCGGCTCAGCCCTCCCGCTCTCGGGACACGGGAGCGGCACCGTGGAGCCGCAGCGCGCTCGTTCGCAGGATTCGGGCCAGAGAGGGAGTCCGAGCTGCCGTCGGTGTTTCAGGTGACGGTCCCGGTGCTGAGATGTGTTTGGCGCGCCGGGAGAAGCGGGGACGGGAACGAGCGGTCCCGACCGCGGTGACTCCCGTGCGCTCTCGGTCAGACGGCGGTGGCGCGATCTGTGTGTCTACTAAAGTAGATCTAGGGGACGTCATGAATCTCAAAGCCAAAAATGCCTCTTGAGAAATGTGTAAATAAGTTATTCCTGTAAAAGGTAGTCAAGTAGTATTTGTGAAGAAAACGAGCTGTGTGCGTGCAAAGCAGCTCTCCTTCCGTAGCAGTCAGGACCGAAAAGTCCATTTAAAATCAAACAAAACCAAGTGAGTTTAGACATAAAGTATTACTGGGAGGGGGGCGGGGGACGTTAGGGTGTGTGTCTGTGCTATTTGCCTTCTGTATTAGAGCTGTTAAAATTATTCTAGATCGGACTTTTGTCCCCTTTCCTTTCAAAAGTGAGATTATACGATCGTACCAGAGTCACTTGATTCCATCAGCCTTAAACAAAGTCGTTATATATTTGCCAGGTGACAGTCGGTAACACCACTGGAAGCATCTCGGTGGTGTTATTAGATCATTCACTTAGCTCTTGGTTGGGGTGGGGACGTTCAAGGAAAATGTGTGCTGGGCTGGTGCTCACTTAAAGCGGGGTCAGTGCAGGAGCTGCCACGCACTCATGGTCCAGGTGATCTGGTCCACGGTGCATCAGCTTGGGCTGGCACAGAATGGGAGGTTGGATGGATAGCAGAGCTGACTCAAACTCTGTTCCAGCCCGGTTCCCGTTACCTTCTGTGACGCTTTGGCAGCCTGTTTATCGTTTGCTGATCACCTTTGCCTCCTTTCTGAAAAGCTGGGATAACGGGACTTGGAGCAAAAGGCTTCTAAATGATTTAGCCTTGAGTTTCAATTAGCTGTTACTGCTTCCTGTGTAGGCAGAGGGGAATCCGTGTTGGTATGCTGCTGTGTCCAGCTGCAGCATGGCTTCCAACTTCAGCCCTGTCAATTAACAAGTAGGAACACAGACAAGTAACGTTAAATGAGATAACAGTGGAAGCTGTTGGTGTCCTGCTCTGTAGAAGAGCATTGGTTGGGCTCCAAAGAAGAGGCAGGGACATGGGCTCTCTGAGGCTGGGTTGTCAGCTCAGGCTCTGCAGAGCTGCACGGGCTCCTCTTGCTTGTGCTGGGGCTTAGTGTGGGTCTGGGGAGGCCTAGGGAGCCTTGGCATGGTAGAACTGGCTGAGGGGCAGGCTCAGTCTGGCCCAGCGCTGCCCCCCTGCTCTGTGGCCCTTCTAAGAGATAGTTGGGAGAGTGGGTTCGGTGACAGCTGCTATCAACAGTTTCATATTATATTGTGGTGTAAATTTGTCAGCTTACGGGAAGGTGGCTGCCAACAAGGATAATAGTTGGGAAAGCATTGGGCAACTGCAAACCGCAATGTTACAGCCTGAAGAATGACTGAAATGAGTGATTCCAGCATGACTGTTGGAGTTGATGCCTCACTTTCTCTGTGGTTTGTTTGGCAGAGCTCTGAAAAAAAGGCATATTCTGTGTTATTTAAAATCTGCTTTGCTATAGGTAATATATGGGCTTTTGGTATGAGATGAGAAATCGGCTCAGGAGAAAAAAAATTATAAAATCTAAACCTAATCATTGCTTGGTTTACAGGATTTCTCCTATGCAGCATGGGATTATCCAGAGGGTTCTTACATAATTTGTATGGTCGCTGAGAGTCTTAGGTTGTCAAATTATTTATTTAGGTGATGTGCAATGTCTGGGCAACAAAGAGTTCCCTTTATAGGAAAGCAGAAATTAAGATAATTGTTCTCAATTTATTTGCCCCAAAATGGTATGTGAGTTTTCACAAATGCTGGTTTCTGCTGCGTTCCACTAATGTGTTTAGTTTTGCTATGGATATATTAAAGATGTGTTGAAATTGCTATTACAGCAAGTGCTGCTGTTTTGAAACTCGCACTCCATTCATCAGCTTTGTTTTAACAGAAATCTGGGAAATGAAGGTGTTGTTCATGGTGTGTTTCTATTTGATGGATTTTCTCCCTCCTGCCCCCTTCAATATTCACATCTTAAAATTTCAGATCACTTTGCAAAGTTTAGTTTTTCTTAGGCAGGACATTTTACAGACTGGGAAATAAAAGTATGTAACTTAGCTGCCTTTGCAAGTTCATGTAAGGCCAGAACTTGCTCTGTTACTCTAATGCTATGAGAACAGAACTGGGCACAAAATATCTACGTGGAACTTGAATCTCTTGCTTCCTCTTCTGATGCTTTTAATTACAAAACCATGAAAGCTTATTCTGAAGATCTGCATCAAATTAGTTAACCCTTAATATGCACGCAGTTCTTTAGGAAAAATGTTTTGCATTCAGGATCATTTTTCTGTGAATCATGCTACATATAATGATGTATATACATACATCATCTTTTGACCTTGTCTGGAGAAAAAAAAAGGTTTGTAAATATAAAATATAATATTGGAAGCACAAGCATTGAGGGGTATTTTTCTGTTGGGTTTTTGCAGGTAAACGACCTCTGCTGGCACGTACGCTGCCTCTCGTGCAGCGTTTGCAGAACGTCCTTGGGAAGGCACACCAGCTGCTACATCAAAGATAAAGATATCTTCTGCAAACTGGATTATTTCAGGTATATAATTCAGGAACATAATATATCAGATAACTTGTTACACTTGCTTGTTACTCTTCACTTAAGCCACAACTGAAATGCACTTGAGGCTCTTTCTTTTTTATTTGCTAGGTTTATTTTCATTGGTTTAAACTCTGACTTTTCTTGTGGAGGGACTTGGGGAGCCTCAAGTCTGTGTGATGTAACAGCCTGCTAAGTCTCCCCTCTGCCCCTCCACTCTTGTGCACAGCTGCTGCATTTGTACCATCACTTCTGTATGCACGGGGGAAAAAAGTCAGAGTCCCTGCCACAGTACGAGTGTATCATATGTGCAGAGAATCATCCTTGGGTAATGCTGGCTGAGAATGCAAGGTAGAGTTGAGATGATCTGTTTGGAGAAGTGCTTCTCTGGTATGGGACTTAAGGCATCACATGGAGCTGCAAAATCAAGCCAGGATAAATCCTGCGATCTTTAAAAGAATCTTTCAGCAGTTATACCTTTCTGTGATCAATTTGCTTTAGAATGTGAAGCATTAAGGGCTAATTCTGTAAGGAAGAATATTATTTACTTGGGTTGGCAATGTAAGTACTCAGGATGCAAAGTCTTTGATATATAAAGTAGCAAAAATTGTTGCTGTTAATTTTGATGTGATTGCTAGTACTTCACGAGTTTGATTGCAAGACCAAACTATTTATGGGATTCTCACCTGTGCCATGAATAGATTACATCCAGCTAGTCAGGTTTGATGCTGAAAGAGAGGAGGGGGGCAAACTGAATGCTGTGAGCTTCTGGAAACACTAAGTTTTGTGGGACTTGAAAAAAGAACTTGAATCTGCAAAGATTTTCAAGACAAATTCTTATCTAAATAATCAACATATCTGGGTGGCTAGTTTCCTCTTCAAAGAGAAATATTCTTCTCTAATAATGTAAATACTTGCAGATATTTGAATTTATTTAGAAATCATAATGTGATGTTAATTGAGGAAATAACTATGAAAATACAGGTTTTCTCCCTTCTGCTGAAGGTGCTGAATGATTAGTGAAGGATGATGTAGCTAAATATAATAGTTCAGACTACCCCTAGAGTGGTGTAAATACATTTAAATAACTGGGAGAATTTTGAACACAGTCAGCTGTTTCCCTCTCTCGGCAATTTTTAAGAGTAATTATCTTTGTAAAAAGGAAAGATGAAGAGCTGTGACTTCATGTATCAGTTAAAATGCTTCAGTTTTGCTTTTTGCCTTATGAAAATACTAACCTCTGTATTTCATTAGTGGTCTTGTCTTAAGCAGTGCCCTGTGCTCAGCTGGGGTCTCGGCTGCGCTGCCACACCACGGTCACCTCGACCCCTGCCCGAGCCTGGCTTTGCTCGGGGCAGTCGCGTCCAGCTTCACCCCTGGTTGCCGTTCTCGTTGCAGGCGCTACGGCACCCGTTGCTCCCGCTGCGGGAGGCACATCCACTCCACCGACTGGGTCCGGCGGGCCAAAGGAAACGTGTACCACCTGGCGTGCTTTGCATGCTTCTCCTGCAAAAGGCAGCTTTCAACCGGAGAGGAGTTTGCTTTGGTTGAAGAGAAAGTCCTTTGCAGAGTACATTACGACTGCATGTTGGACAATCTGAAAAGAGAAGTTGAAAATGGTAACATAGTGCTTTTGTTAAGAACTATGTTTGTGGTTCAGTTTTAGTTAAATTGTTGTGGTTTACTTCATCTTCCTTATTTTGGGGTAATTGCCTGGCTTTAGTAAGACTGGAAGCACAGGTTCTTGAATTAAAATAATGTGCAAATTATTTCATGTTCTAATTTTTTTTTGAGTTTGTATAACTTGTTTTCTATCCTAAGGAAAAGAAAGCAGCAGTATATCTTGTTGATAAAATATCACGCTAGATTTATTTCTTCTCTCACTTGAAAGGGAGTCATTTGGGGTATAATCTGTAATGATGCCAGACCAATTTAACTTTGAATAGAATATGGCTTTTTTGAAGTTGATATTCAGCTGACCAAGCGCTGTTGGTTACTGTTGGAGAACAGTCTGACTTATGAATAACATCACTGTGAATGTATAGTGGTAGTATTGTTTTCTTTTTAATGTTTCAGGTAATGGGATTAGTGTGGAAGGAGCATTACTAACAGAACAAGATGTTAATCATCCAAAACCAGCAAAAAGAGCTCGGACCAGCTTCACAGCAGACCAACTCCAGGTAGAGGCAGTGCTAAAAACTTGTGTAGCTCAGGTTTATGCAGGACGTAGGTGCTGAACCAATAGGAAGTTGGATGCATAGGGGAAGAAACTTTAAAGCTTGAATGCTTTAAACTATTTCATAAACTATCAAGACACAGCATGTTTCTGGAATTTGTTTGTTAGCTTCAGCAGTTTAATATGAAATAGTACTCTGCAAGCTTTTTATTTCCCTGGGGGCAGAGAGTAATTCTGCAGAGTGGAAACAAAAAGGTTGTTCTATTTAGATTGCTCAATGAAACCTATTTAATCAGCAATTTACATCACTAAACATAATAAAGACAAAATATTTTTAGAATTACGTAATGTGAAAAGTTGTACTAAAGATGGGTACTGTATGTGACTTCAAAACATTAATAGGATGAAAGTCGCAATTTTGTTGTAATGACTGCATCTGCTCTGCTTTCAAGGCTTCTTGTCTTGTTGCTGCCTTGTCAAGAGTTAGCTCTGGACTATCTCAAGAGGAATTATTTTGCCCTCTGGATCACACTTCACTTAAATTAGCTTTCTAGGGAAAAACATCAGGACTAGGGCCAGCTTACAATGAAGGGGTGATAGTGAGACCAGATTTAGGGATTTCAACCTGCATGAGAAGGAAGCTGTGGCTTTCTACCTAATCCTAGCTATACATCCCTGCTTTCACTTTATATCAGGTTTTTGAATTTCTGTTAACAATGTGAGTTCTGTTTTGTTGGCCTGTCCTCCTCTTTTTTGTGGTGAAAACAGTTGAGAAAAAACTAATGCTGAGGAGTAATAAGGTGGGGTGTTAAAGCAGTGCTGTATAATGGGACACGGGGCTGTTCAAAGTTTGGTTTTCTGTTTCAGTAGTGACTAGAGACAGAAGGTAGTGGTAACACAAAAGAATCATTTTAGTAATAATCCAACAGATGCACAGGGAAGGCTTGGACATTGACCTTGAACTTCTGCAAAAGGGGACTTTCTTTTCTGGCAGTATCTGAAAGGGAGATAGGCCCAGCCATCGGGGCAGGAACTGTATTCAGGGCTTCTTCCCAGCTGCTGTCATTTAGGTGGATTTTAACATACTTCAGCAGGTGTTTGAAATCTTAGGGCTCCTTCTTATTTAATGACACTTTCTATCTGCTTGTTGCACCTCTGTGCTTATCTTTGAGGCTGGTATAAGTTTGAATAAGAGAAGCATCATAGGGATAAGTGACTGTCAGAGTGGCAGCATGTTACTGCACACCTCACCAAGTACTTGTACAAAAGGATGTCCATGCATTTTGATGTTTATGTTCTACAGCACATTCCACTACCTAAAGGGGCTCCAAGAGAGCTGGAGAGGCACTTTGGACAAGGGCATGGAATGACAGGACAAGGGGCTTCCCACTGCCAGAGGGCAGAGTTAGATGGGGTATTGGGAAGGAATTCTTCCCTGTGTGAGGGTGGTGAGGCCCTGGCACAAGTTGCCCAGAGCAGCTGTGGCTGCCCCATCCCTGGAAGTATCCAAGGCCAGGTTGGATGGGGCTTGGAACAATCAGGTCTAGTGGAAGACATCCCTGCTCACGGCATGGGGTGGAACTGGATAGTCCCTCCCAGCCTAAGCCATTCTGTGATTCTGTGAAACAGCAGAAAAGTAAACAGTTTCTGAATGTGGAGAGCAGAAGTCTGAATCTTCAAAGATGAAGCCAGGCAAAATTTGCAGGGTCAAATCAAGGGTCAAAAATCCAAAAATGAGAAACTAATGTTCTTGAAATTGCTGAAGATATCCTGCAGAAATCCATGAAGCCTTACTTCCATAAACCGGGCAAATCCTTAAAGCCTCTGAAAATGTTCAGGATGCAGGCCAAGTTGACATCTACTTACTCAAAAAAGTGTAATTCATATCCTAATGACAAGTGCTGACTTCAGTTTTCTGTAAAAAGATGAGCGGAACCAAATCATTGCAAAGGGAAGATCAGCCAAGGTGGAGTCCCCTCTGTTCCTTGGGCTGGTTAAAGGCAAAGAAAGCACAAAGTGCTTCCCAGCTCCTGCATCCTCCACAAAGATAAAAAGAAAGTCAAGTTGCTCCATCTAATACAAGGTGCAGATACTGATTAACAAGTTCACGGCGGTGGATCATGGCTCGTCCCCTCCTTATGCTGTGATCTGCTGCTATAGGCTTTTCTTTATTGAGTGTATTTGAATCACTTTGCAGTGAATTTTCTCATATAGTTCTTTTAATGTATTCTTACAGAGCACCTCCTTCAAGCAGAATCTGTTTTTTTCATTTCTGGTGAATGTCACAGCTCAGTTAAGCATAGTAAGAGTTTGTATTTAGGTTTGGGGGATTTTTTTTTTCCCTTAAAGTATTGGGGGCTGTCTGGAGAGACCTAGTGATTACAATAGTTTCCTGAAGACAGACAAGGAGTAGGACCATGGTCTGAGAGGAATCTAATGCTGCTTTCAACACAAATGATCCTGCAATCTCTTACCTTGCCTTTTCAGGTTATGCAAGCACAGTTTGCTCAGGACAACAATCCAGATGCACAAACGCTTCAGAAACTGGCAGAAAGAACAGGCTTGAGCAGGCGTGTTATACAGGTAACAGTGTGAAGTTACTTGATTAACAAAGTCTGGTACTCATCCATTGGAAATGCTTAATGACAGTTTTCTCCATGTAGTTATTCTGGCACGGAAAAAGATCTAATCTGGCAATTATAACATCAGACAACATCCTTAATCAGGAATAGGTCTAGAACAAGCATGGTAATTTGGAAAACTCACTGTATTCCTCTTGTGCTTTTGTGTGGAATATTAACAGTCTTCTGTGAAGAAACTTCTCAGCTTAAACAGTATAGAAATTGGCACTAAGTTATTCCAAATAGAAATTTCTGACTGTAATTATCTGTTCTTAAGACCTACACTCTTTTCAAAAATGTCTTGTGGTATGACACGTTAGGAGCAAGTGAATATCTAGTCATCTGTTCTAGAGAGCAGAGTTAAAATATATACCCATGCCATCCAAAACTGAAACACAGACTTGGAATCTTTGCTTGAAGATATCTCTCAGCAAACATTATATGGATGCTTTTTTATACATAAATATGATATTTAATTGATATTATATATATATGTTAATATAAATACAAATAAGTTTGGAGTTCCCTTGGCTCATTCTAGCCTGGAAGACTGTCAGTGTGTTTCTATAGAAATGAGATATCTGGCAGGTGGTTGTTGTGCTAATGTTGAATGCAATCTGTCAACATGATGTACCTTTCCCTGCTTTTCAGGTGTGGTTTCAAAATTGCAGAGCACGCCATAAGAAACATGTTAGTCCTAATCATTCATCTACTGCTCCTGTCACCGCAGTTCAGCCCTCCAGGCTGTCTTCACCCATGTTAGAAGAAATGGCATACTCTGCATACGTACCCCAGGATGGGACTATGCTGACTGCTCTGCACAGCTACATGGATGGTAGGTTTTAACAGCTTTGCTGTTTTTCTCTTAGTCATTATCAGCTGCAGCAAGAATGGTCTACCAAGTACTGATTAAAGAAACCTAATGGATTTTTAATTTTTAGTATTCTCTATAGAATATAGCAATACCGTACTTGCTATTTACACCTTATTGAGAAAGCAGTCGCTCTTCACTGTAAGAGCATGGCTGAAGATCTGGTATGAAAACCACTGCTTGTGCTTCCTCCAGGCTATTAAAACTATAATGAGAAATTAAACACTTATTTAAACATCCACACCATGTATTTTAATAATACGTAATTTTAATGAAAACTGTTCACCACTTGCTCTCTGGCTCTTACCTCACGGACTGTAGAGATGCCCCAACCAGCAACTTCTCTGAGAGCTTCGCCTTCCCTCACAGTAACACACAATGTGGCGGGGGAGAGCCTGGTGGTTAAAAGTGCTTTAGTCATTGTGTCTTAAGACCCAGCAAGTCAACAGCTTTGGCCCCTATCTGTGGTTAGGAGGGACTATGAAGATTTTGGAAGAATCAGTCTGAGCTGCATGTGTGGCCTGAGCTGTTCTTCTCCAAAGCAGTGGTGTAAGGTGGGCTGTGGGTGGAGGAATGAGGATGCTGGGCTAGGGGAAACAGAGCGTGCAACAGGGTTGGGACAGTGAGCTGTCACTCCCCAGTGGGATTTACTAGCTTATAATCTTTTTCTACTCTGATGAAATTGACTGGTAATGTTTGTTTTTGTAGCTCATTCACCTACAGCTCTTGGACTCCAGCCTTTGCTACCCCATTCAATGACACAACTGCCACTAAGTCACACCTAATTCCTTTCTGTCAGGGATATAAGCTATTAAAGATGTAACCTTAAGTCATAGTGTATTGAAAATATCATTGGAAAGACATTAATGTTAACTTTTTATTTAACACCTAAAGCATTTTCAAGATAACTTTTGCTGCCCAGGTATGTAAGTATATTTAGCCTGCAAGACACTTTTATGGATTCTGCATAAATAACTATTACATTGTTTACAAGCCTTATTAAACACCTTTTTGTATTGTCTGGAAGTAGTCCACTCTAGTTATGTGTGTGTTAATTTATTTGTCATCAAAAGAGCACTTTGCCTAAAAGAAAGGACTGACAATTGTGCAAAATGTTTACAATTCTTTGTGAAATTGTAGTTTATCATTAGTTTGTATCTGTAAGTTATTGCTAAAAGTATTACCTGTATTTGAGTTGTACACAGCCTATATGTTAAAGCTTATTTCTGTGAGTTTACAAAAATAAATTTTGGTTGCAAATATTTTCAAAAAGAACTGAATAAAGTTTCTGCTGTAGCATGCCAAGCAAAAATGTTGCTGTGTTTATGGCTAAACTGTGATCATTTGTCAAGTGTTTAACTTGAATCTTCAATTTTAAGAGAAGGTCCCTGTTATACTGAGGAACATTACACCAAGGTCCTTCAGGAGGGTTCATATATATTTCAATTGATAGTAGAAATGCTTTAATGGTCTTGAAACACCCCAAATAGGTGGTACACAAGTGGGTATATGCAAAGCAGTGCTGCTGCTGAGGGTGTACAGTTGTGGGGAAAAGGAAATGGGAGATGAATAGGACAGATTTTAAACTGTGACTTAAGTTGGCAAGTGGAGAACCTGAAGTCACATCTGCTTTAAATTTTTAATCTTTCCTACTTTAGCTTCTGTTCAGTGGTTTTATCTTGTGCTTTTGTTAAGCAGGATGATAAGATGCAATACTTAAACAGAGTCTGCTTTTTAAAAGTAAAACCTAGTTCAGCTTTTTAACTCACCTGCATATGAAGAGAGACTGGAATTCAGTCAAATGCACCACAGTCTACTGTGTTTAAAGCTGCTAATGTGCTAAGACTTTGTTGCAGAGCATGTTTTGATTCACTGATTTGATGCACAAAGGCTACCATAAATTCAACTGATTTTGTCTTCACAGACTAGTTTCCTTCTAGGATTTAAGACAGGTAGATCCCATTTGCACATTTAAACTTTATTTGCATCAGAAGGAAATCATACTTTTGAAGCTGTGTATATGTGTCCATATCCCTTTCTCTCCCAGCTATGCATTAGTGTCTACTCTGAAATTCCTTAACTGTGCTGGTCAAACCATTTCACTGTGAAAACATAGTGCTTTCTGATGATAACTTTTGAGAGCATAACTTTAATGGCAAGCTCTGAATTATTCAAATTCATTAAATTAAAATCCTAACACTGTTTCAAGTGCTACTCACAGATGTCTGAGCTAATCGAAGTAGCAGAAGCAATCTCCTTGCACTGGCACAGTGTTTTGTCAAGGTATATATTATCCTGCCTTTCCTCCTCTCCCTTCTCCCCCCACCCCTTAAAACACTCAAGATGGGCTGTGGTGGAGCTCGACTGACTGTACATTTTATTCTAGAGTATGTAACTTCTTAGCGAGAGACTCCAGGTGGAATACTGAATTCAGGATGTTGTTTCCAGTACCTAAGCTAGCTCCATAGATCACCATGCTACAAAACAGCATGCACAGCAGTAGATAAACGGGTTTGTGCTCATCTGTTGTGTCTGATAGGCAAGTAGGACAACCTTACTGCTGAAGTTTTACCAGTTAAATGCTAAATAATGCTAATTTAGATATTAACATAACTTGGTAATTTAAAATGCAACTTAGCTTGCATTGAGTTCCTTTAAGGAAAAGTAATTATTCACTTTAATTTGAAGAACCGAGTAGCTTCAGGTTGCCTGAAACAAAAGTAAGTCTAAGCTTATTTGTGAAACACGTCCTTCTGTTCAATTTCAAAGTCAGAACAGGATTAAAGTACATGGGAGCAATTTTCCTATTTCCCTATGAAAGTAGGAAGCAGGATAATTTGTCTTTTGCTACTGTCGAGTGCTTGTGCAGCTATTTATAAGAGTGGCTGGGAAAATGAAGAGTTGAAAATAGGAAGCTCTAGCAGAGAATCTGGGTGTTGTGTCTCCCTTTGCCACTGCCAGAGCCGTCTGCAGCTGGTGTTGGGCTGACAGTCTGTGGAAAACTGGGGACAGTTTTAGTCAGCTGTGTTCAACTGAGGCTGCTGCTGTAGCCTGACTTCGAATGCTTGTTTGACAAGTCTGAATGTTTGTTTTTCTCTCCTGGTTGTGCGCTGGCATTTGTGACTCTGCTGCTGAGTTCTTCTGAGCCTGGAGCCATCCTCTCTGCCTCCTGCTGTGTAAAAGAGTAACTTGGATAATGATAGGATGAGGAAATTCACGGGCTCTCTTTGCAGAAAGGGAATGCTTCAAAAACATCATAATGATATATCTATCTGTGTGTGTGTGCGCACAGGTGGGGTTTTTTTCTGTTTTCATTTGGTTTGTTACTTATTGCTGTGAAGTCCTTAAGTTAAAAGAAAGAACAATGAAGTAAGTATTTCTCTTTTGCTTGAAACAGCTGACCAGGTGAAGTGTGATGTAAGACGTTTAGGCTTCAGTATTTATTTATTACCAGGATTAGCAGCACAGGTGGAGCAACTAAAGTCAAATGTTTGGCTCCCAGTCCATTGTTTGCCTAACAGTGCTCATCTTTTCTCTTCTACTCCTGCTAATGTCTTTCCCCCCCACACACAAATAAGCCCACAGCAATTCAACAGTACTTTTGGGAAAACACCTCACAACTTCCTTTTCTGCCTGCAAATTGCACATTCCTCTGTTTACACAGCACTCCCTGGACTTCTTCCTCACTCCTCTCATGAAGAGCTTTTCCCTGTTGGGTACACCTGTGACAATGCATCAGCTCTCTTTCAAATACTGCTGTCACATGGGTTGGTTTGTTTGTTTGGAGTGGGTTTGTTTGGGTTGGTTTGGATTTTTTTAAAACCCTGCCACACCTCAACAGGAACTAATCCCCTCCCCTATATAAGAATGATATAAGACCTGCCATCACAAACTGCACCAATATTATTTCCCAAGTTGATCTCATGGGAGAAAGATGTCTCCTGCTCCAAGCCTCCTGAAAACAAAGGTTATTACTGAAATATGAGAAGCTTGTAACAGTACACCAGTATATAAAAAAAGTTACATATTTTCTTATTTTAAAATGAAGCCTTTGCATTTGAAAGATAGCTACTCCATTAAAAAAAAATCAGTCAAGGAAGCATTTTATTTTTGTTTAATGTAAGCTAACAGGTCATCCAAGAAAGTTAATCATAAAAATATCATTTAAATAGGACACAAACTGTAATATGCTGAATACAGGAATCACTGGAAGCTGCCTTTTTCACCATTTTCAGAAATAATCAGCAGAAATACTGGCATTCCTAAAATATGGATACAGGCATTTAGCCAAAATATGATTTTAAGACAAAAAAACTGTGTATCTATGTTATGCATAGATAAATCCATAAAAATGTTACCTTTCAACAGGCACTTTGATGTCTCTGCAGGAATTTTTCCAGGCATCTAGGTGGTGGGCTGGGATGCTCAGACACAATCCACAGAAGTGTTCAAACATGCCAGTGCAGGTTTCTTGTAATGACATCAGTTCAGAAGAGCTGCCACTGCTACAAGAGAGCCCCTAATATTAAACCCACAAAGAGTTTTAACAACTTTTTCAAGCTCCAGGGACTCAGAACCACTACAGCTGAGTGTTATACAAAGATTTGTTAAACTCTTTTGGACCATTGTTAGTGTTCTCACAAAACAACTTGTGAGCTTAAAGATACCACTGTGATAACGCTGTTCCAGTACTCTGTATTTCTGTAAGAAATTGGAACTCTGTAAACTAAAAAAAAAAAAAAAAAAAAAGGTAAAAAAACCCCAAACTACAAAACTCTTTTGTTATTATCATTTGGAGCAAATTAAGCATGGACCTTTCTCCTGGGATGACTTTGATTCTTTTCCAAACTTAGGCTCTTTAAAGTACATTACCTGCAGAGCCCAGCCAAAGCAACAGAAATGAAAACCTAGGACCTAATGAAATTAAAGTTGATTCAAGACAGTTTGGAAACTGAGTTGGTCAGATGTGTTAAAAATGATGGCAACCAGAAACTACATTAAGAAGCTCTGTATAAAATAATCCCTTCCTTTCCTTCTCCAAGGCATCTGTGTACGTGTGGCTTTGCAAAGGAGCATGCTGGTTCTTTGCAGAAAATGCACCAAAAGCACTGTTCATCTGCAAAGTCAAACCACAAAGATGTGCACAGGTGGTACCCATCAGCCACTGGCTGAGACAAAAGCAGAAACATTTTCATCCTGGGTCTCTTTGATTGTAACAGGTCAGTTACATTATCATTTCCTTCTTCAGCAGAAATGTCAGTCAGATCACACCACTGCTGCTCTGCTGCTCTAGCCTGGAGTAGTTGCAGCACAACGACAACTCATGGTGCCAGAGCAGAGTGGAGAGGCTTTTCCTCCCCTCTCCCTGTGCAGCCAACACCCGTGCCAGCAAGGGCACCTCCCTGAGCAATGTGTGCATAAACCTATCAACTTCAGATGAGTTGCCATGCTGCATCCCACTGAGTGCTGACACGGGTCACAGGTACATAGCCCAGGGCTGCAGGGGAGGCTTATGTCACTGTATGACAGACCCCTTGGCTAGCCAAACAGAACAACCCATACAGAAGCAGGATCCCCAGAAAAGACTGGAGGTCAGACTGCTGGTACATAAAAAAACTCTGGGTAGGTTTCGAATCCTCTGGATGTGGATTAAAGTTTCTATGGCATGCAGCCAAGATTAGATTTAAATGTAATATGAATGGCAAGAAAACCATGTGAGATAAAAAAACACATCAGTCTGAAAACAAATTTAAGAGAAGGAAGGTAAGAAAGCAATTTTGTTAGCGAGCCTTACATTTTCTGAAGGAGGACAATGTAACTAATAGCTGCAGTCAGTTCCAACAGACCATGTCTGTTAACAGGAGATACTGATGGAGTTTAAAAAATGAAAATATCCAAATTTTAATTAAAATAATGACATACATATGAGACACATAGTAAAGGTCCTCTATGCTCCAAAATCCCCATACAATAACTTTTATAATACAAGTATATCTTCAGAGTTTAGGTACCCTGTGTTGGATTCTGCAGGGCTATACATGATCAGTTGAACTCAAAAAATGTGCTTTAAAAAACACAGTATTTTACTGTTATTGTTGCTTTCTGCCATGGTCAGAACCAAGTTGTACAGTGATGCTTTACACAGTAAAAAGCATGCAGGTTTTGTTTGCTGAATTTGCATCTGATCAAATGTTAAAAAACAACACCAGTGAAAAGAAACAAAAGTAAATCTGCTCTCATGAAGATTTACTGTAGAACAGCAGTGACTTTTATCAAGAGATGAAGCAACTCTAGTGTACTAGCCTGTACCTCTTCCCACATGGCATGGCCTCAGTCAGCCAAGCTGCTAACCTGCGCTCAGGGAACACCAGTGTCCCTCTGAAGATCATTTTTGCAGTTCACCTTTCAGTGTTTAGTTTGGACTGAAATGGTCTGCATCTAAACCTTCCAGGCTGAGCCATTCTTCTCTTTGCTTTGTCACAACTTTCCTTCTGCAGCAGCTGCCAGCCACCCCTCGAGACAGAGCTGGGCTGAACAAGTACCTGCTGTTCACAGCCACTGACCGAGGGTGTGGCTGACTGGACTACAAATTCACCAGCTTCCCCACCAACACTGACAACATTTAACCCTCTCTAATAAATAGTATCCTATGGCATAAGCCTCATACGTGCTTATTTTCCCTTAAATGATATATGCTGCAACTATAAATTCAAAACTTCTGTGAATGCACTTATTCACTATTCAGTCACTGAATTCCAAACACACAGCCATATTCCAGCTTGCTTTGCTAATTCAAAAACTTTCTCTCAAGGTTTCATTGCAGTGATTGCTGAATGACAAAAGCAACTTCAAACAAGGCTGCCCACATATGGAATAACTTCCAAGGCATACTTTAACCTCGAGTCCAAATTTTCCCTTTGTCCTCACTCCAAATAATTGCTCCAGTTCTATCTCTGATGAAATCCACCCCCATCTCTGAAAAGCTTTTGCACAGGGTTTGGCGGTTTTGTTTTTTTCTCCCTGTCTGCCAGAGAAATGTATGTGATGGGCCACTGGCCAGATGGGGACTCACCTGCTATAGCTCAACTGTGAGTTCAGCACCTGCAGCAGCTCTGCCTGTGATGTTCTGCCAACCCACTTTGTGCAGTAAAGGTTTTCTTGACCTCACACAAAGGCAGGAGAAAAATCTGACTTTTAGTGAGTCTTGTAAACTCCAAAAGAGATTTATACCGAGTTCCATGGTATCATTTTGGCCAATTTAAAATACACCTTGTCTTGTATAAGATCTCAATTCAGGTTTAGACAAAAAAAACCATGGTTTATTATTACGTGGTTAAAAAACTTTAAATCTAAATTAAAAAAACCGTAACAAACAATCCTCGAGCCGCCACAAGCAAACCCAGAATTCCCCTCCATCCTGTAGCAATGATAGCGGCCCCACCCAGCACCTCCTCTGCTCCGCTCCTACACAGCCGCATCCGCCCCGCGCCCCGCGGGTACCAAACCGCGCCCCGCCCCGCCCCGGTCCGCCCCCCGCGCAGCCGGAGCGCCCCCGCATCCCCCCGCCCGGCAGAGCCCCCGCGTCCCCCCGCACAGCCCCGCGAACAGCCCGGCGCGGTGCAGACGCACTCCGGTTTATATCGAAATTTTTATTGGAACAATCCCCAAGAACTGTAAAACGGCGAATTAACAACAAAATTAAGCACTTTCGTTATCAAAGATATTTAAACAATACCTATCTATTTCTGCATAGCAGAAGCAACAGGGTTTAGAGCTCGAACCCTCGTGCTCGTGTTAATTTGGTTTTGGCAAGATAATACAACCTTAAGAATCACATTAAAGGAACAGTAACCTCCCTTTCATTTCTTAAACCTTGAAGAGCCATTTTTATAGTTTACTCATTATTTGGGACAAATACATGTGGACATATTGTAGCATAGAGTAACAGACAATTTTAATATTAGTAGTACTAGTGTTACTTGTACATGAAGAGTTACCTTTCTAATTGTTTACAGTGCAGTACAAATTACGTATTACCTCAAAAATCATTGCCTGTATCAAAAGTTTAAAAAATTTGAACAATTTATAAAACACTTCCATAATAGGAAATTATCAGTCTTGAAATGGAAAATGAACTTTATGCTTATAAACACGCAAATGGATGTATTACAGTAATACATTTGTTAGCTTTATTCCTTCTGTTTTAAGTAGCAAGAGCCCAGTTCTCCCCACAGTTACACAAGTACAACGCACACGATCATTGTAACCAAAAGCAGAATAGGCCCTACTCAGAAGTCCACTATAACAGAAATTAAAGCCATTAAAAAAATCTACTATAAAAAATGGAACAGTCTTGCATTGTTTTGATTATTTGCAACACCCAAACTGTCAGGTTTTCTCCTGGACCACACTGTCAACTTTCATGATCTGACAACAGCAACAGGGAAATTGTGAGTGCTGCATCATGCAGTCCAAACACATCTGACATCCTTCCTACAATTCATTTTCTGTCAGTTAATTTGAAACAAAGAGTGTTGGTTTTCCTACCTAGCATTTTGTTTTGTGGTCTATATGGTATGAATAAATTTCAAAATGTAACCCAGGTAAAGTAACAGCCAGTAAGGCACTTTGTCTGCAAGGACGCAGCTGTTCAGGCTGAGCAACTGGTCAAAGGGAGACATTCTGCATTACTCAAAACCAGTCAGTTTATTCTTCATAATCACTTCTCTGACAGTCCATTTGTGGAAGAACACTTACTATCTCAGAATCAGCCTGACATTGCATCTGCCAAAATATTTTTCCCGTTCTACAGCAGAACATGCAATAGTAAAATATTTCATTAAATACTAACAGTTAGAAGAATATTCAGCATTCTTGTAACACCCAAGAATCAGCTGCTGAATACTATTTGGAAACACCCTCCCTCCCGCAGAAGAAATGATCCCATCTTCTTGTTTCTTTGTTTTATTTCTGTGGTTACTTTTTCTTTTTTTTTTTTTTTTTTTACAAAATTTGAAGGCTTGACATTAAAACTTTGGTATAAAACATGGAAATGAAAGCCATCCAGAAATATGGCGTAGGGACATACAATGAATCCAACCCAAACTAAACAAACACGAGTGTGTGGATGTCATGACGGGGGGGTGTTTTCTACTGTCTCTTGGTTTCTACATTCTGCTTGTTTGTGATGTGGAGAAGGGGTCTTTCTACTCATGTAAAAGGGTCTTTCTGCAGAGCCACCTGCCTTCCCAAAGTTCTTCCTAGGAGAGAAAGCACCAGGCAGGACCCTGTAACTGCTGGTTCTGGGTCCTCCCCTCCCTCCCCTGCAGGCACAGAACCACCCCCAGTCAGTCGGGGTTGGCCTGGGCCCCTGCACCGGGGGGACACTGTGGCAGCAGCCCCAGGGGGCTCAGCAACAAAGCTCACACCACATATTTGACCGTCTTCCACTCTCTAAAGCAAAAAATGAAATTCTGAATTTTATACTAAATCGAGCAACAAAGTAAATATCCAAATCCATAAATGTCAATACCAGTACCTCCTCCGTGGTGCACATCTGCAACTCTGGCCCACAGGGTATAAGTTAGGACCCATTCTAATAAGACAGTCTTAAAATACCTCAGGTGATTCTTTCCCAAGTAAATACTTGCATTAATTTTGACTTATTAATTATTAGTAATTTATCTTTTAAAAGCCGATTTTAATATTAAATAATTATTATTTACTTACTGAATTTATTGATTACAAAACCTACATGGTATTGCTTTGTATTTTCACAGTTCTCATAATTATTAAGAAAATGGCTTTTAAATTTTCTTCTCAGAAATGATGATCACTTACATTCTAAAGACTTTCACAAAATAGTGAGAAGAGCAAATTTATACATATATATTTTTTACTTCATATAAATAATAATACAATTTAAAACTTTCACTTTTAGAAATTCATTTAGTAAATGCATAGGTTTGTTACAAAAGTCTTCTAATCAAATAACTGTATACTATTTCTATTATGTTTTATTCCTAGTAAATTCTATGGTTACATTCATATGATAAAAAAGCAAGGTGTATCAGAAGCTTTTCCAGTTGAGCTCCCAGTAAGACACTCAAGTCCAGTAGAAATATAGATTACTTAATGCAGTTTCTTTGTCACCAAATTAATCACATAAAAAAAAAAAAGCTTTAGAACCTGGACTGTAATCAGACCAGCAGCTTCTTTAATCACAGAATGGTGACACATACCCTCAGAAGTTACTGACTTAATTCTCAGAAAAAATTAGAATCATGGCAGGGGTGTGAATTCCATGCCATGCCCATAATGAGAAAGGACTGATGATGATGATGAAAAACTTCATCCCTCAAGAATCTGATTTTTTTTCCCAAGGCAGGGCTCTCAGTCCTTTCTGAAAGTCAGGTTTACTTTGGGGTATCTCACAAGGGGTTACCAAAAACTGAAGGTGCCCATAATCAGTAGTTATGCTTGAAACTGTACACCTTTATTTTACATTATTTGAATCCTAAACTGAACTCCTCACTTTTGCTTCAAGGAAAAGTGCTGCAGCACCCACTGGACCACGGAGAATGCTCTCAAGGACCCTCCCACCTGCACCTCAGGTCACAGGATTTCACAATCTGTCCATGCCCATGAGTGCAAGTGCGTGGGTGAAGAAGGTTACCTTCACATCACCACAATCCCAGACCCGCTGCATAAAGGACAGTGTTCCTGCATTTGTAGCAATTACAGCCATCACAAACTGGAGCTGTAAGTCAGAGAGCAAAATCCCACTGGGATGGGGATGGCCAGTACATTTTGCCCAGAAACTTGCCTTCAAATCATCTGAAGAAGAATTTGCCTTTCTTTTTGTGACACCAATCGACTCCTAGGGCTAGAAGAGTATTTCCAGGTGCTGAACTCCTGTCATAGAACTGGCAAATTTATGGCACATGCAACTCCTGGAAAGCGGACAGTACTGGAATAACTTAGTACAGTGGAACCCATGAAAACTAGGGGCAGGTCTCAGTACGGTCCTTGGTCCCCCAGGAGACTAATAAATTAAAACCTTTTCAGCTCAGCTCCTGGAAGTAACAGACTTGAGAAGCACTTCAGTGCTGGACTTTTTCCATCAGCAGAGCTGGTACCTAACCGCAGTGGGAGGGTCATAAACCACAAAGAATGTTAAATGCATTAATGACTTTGTACTAATGACTGGGCAAATTTAATAACCAAAAAGCAAACTAAATCTTTCAGAGCATCTCTCAGTAGCCAAATAATTAATCCTGTATCATGAGAAGACTTGAGTTCAATGTCCTAATACCTTACTGTGTGAGCCACTGGGAGCCTGAAGACGTGCAGAAAGTGCACCCTTGGCCCTCAGCAGCTGCACAGTTGTTCCAATGGCTTGGTAAAGAGCCCTTCTGAGCTGGGCAGAGGCAATGGAACTCCTTGTGCACACACACGGCAAAGACTTTCTTTCAAGGAAAAAAAGACTTGTATTTGGTTTTCCTTTCAGTGAAGCTCAACTTCCTTGCAACACAGAACACATTCAGAGACTTGTCAGAGATAGGGGGATATTAATATTAACACATGTGCATCTCTCTTAGACATCAGCTAAAAATTATACATTCACCATCTTGTACCAGATGAAACCTCATTTGTGTGAACCACAAATCACTTCAAGTGCAGTGGGACCTTCTCTCAGTTACATCATCTTTTAAGCACAACTTACAGAAAACTTCACTTTAAGCAGTATCAACTAAAGTCTTTTCTGACTTCCTTCTTTGAGGACCTGCAGGGTACCATCATGTCTTAAAAGATGCAGTTGTGGATGTGATTAAAATATCACTACGTTTTTCAGTGTAGGGAATCATTAATGCATGTATAATCACAGTTTAAATAGCTGTGAACCAGCTTGTACAAAAAAATACAATCATAGCACCATATTTACAAATTTAGTACCATCTCCAGGTTAACTAGAGTCTTAAACTATCTTTTTTATGGCTAATTAGGTTATATGTTAGTGCTTTCAAAAAATTGCCTGAATTTCTTTTACAAATATACACTTATAAAAAGAAACATTATCAAAACTGCTGTCATCTAAGGCAGCAACTTGTATTACAAAAATTATTAAAACATCATTATAGACTTATAAAAGCTTCAAATTTACATTTTCCTTTTCATAGGCACTCTATAAACTAAAACGTGGCCTTGTTTTCACAGCTGTTAGTTTAAGCATTTAAACTAATTAAATGTTACTGATGTTGCTCTTTTGTATTAAATATAAGCAAAAGGAAAAAAAGAATCACCCATTAACCAGAAGCATCATTTACGGTTTTTACTTTTGCCTACTTTATACACGTTTTGCTTAAAAGTGACACTTTTTGATGTCGAGGTTCAGTGCACGTTATCCCACTGCCTTCTTAGGGCTTAGTTTCTTCTTCCCTAGAATTCGGTGGAGGCTAGCTGACATGAAGTAGGGTTTTGCTGTAGATCCATCATTTCTCTCCAGGTCTTCACCTGAATTTACACAGCAAAAGCAGTCAAAAAAGCAAACAGCAGTACAACCACACACACACAGATGCAAACAGAATTGAAGTAAGGAGAGAGTAAAAGATCTAACATTAAGAAAAATCTCAATCAACACAATTAAGCTGTATTATTAATTATGTCCTTGATCAAGGACACTATAAAATTTCTATTTTCTCAAATCACAAGGGGTTTTATATGAAACAGAGACACAAAAATCTAGACATTTTTACATGAAAGCAATATATCCTTTTTATTCTCCAGATCTTTGGTTTGGCTGTATAGGTGGAAATTTTCAAAATTCTCATTCCTCCACTGAAGCCTGGCATTTTGGACACCTCTTGCTAGCAAATTTGCTAACCTCAGTTTTCAGGGAAGCACAGCTAAAGTGAGTTTATCTCACATCAGTAATCCACTGTGCATATATATGAAAGATCAAGCTTATGACTACTTCAGTATTCCCTTAGTATTATCAAATTTGCCAATTTGAAGACCAATCACTACCATGTAACTTCTACACTGACCTATCAGAATTAATTTCTTTATAGAAAAATCTAGCACAGGGAAGGTATTATATACTAAGGACATCCACTTCTTATAATCATGTCCTAATTTGAGACCAACAGATTTCTTTTGTAATTTTAGTATTCTCCGTCCCTGTGACAGTGCCCATGATTGCTTGCCATCGGGGGTCCAAGGGACAAATAGTTTCAAGTGATATTTTACAGAATTCTTAAGGTGATTCAGCATAATACTTCGTTCAGGGTTATTATGCTGAAAACAAAGCACACATACCAAAGAATATATTTGTTATTATCAAGAAGTTTAAGTGAATCAATACTGTACAGGGCTCTTCACAAAGCACCCTGAAGCAAACTTACTGAAATTTAAGGAACATCTGAAAGACAAAAGCCAGGTACCACCATGAACCATGAAGCTACCTTACATTTTTTAAACTAATTAAATTTGAATATTAAAACAGAATGCATCAAGGGAGTATCTGAAAAGAAGAAGCTGCTAATTTTTCACAGTCTGCCAGTATGCCACCAGAATTCTGTAAGGAAAGGACAAGGTGGTTTTCTACTCCCCCTTCCATGACTTGCAGATATCACTGAAAGAAAAGGTAGTACTTACAGAAGCAGAGGAAAAGCGTGTCGACACACATTGCATAGACACTGAAGAACCCGTGTGCAACTAGGTAGGAGCCAATGATGACTGTCTAAAATAAAAGACCACCACAATAAACCCCCAAACTTCTTTTGGTGCCAATGTGGCACTATTAACACAAGTCAGAAGCCTAGTCTGCTAAGCAAATTTGGGAGAATTTAATGTCAGCTCTGTATTTCTGCCAAAGGTTTCTAGTGCTGTGGGCAGCGATCACAGGGTCAAGACACCGCATTCTAACATGCAGTAGCCACTCATTTTCCAGCTGCCAAAACAGAATTATTTCAACCTCCAAAGAGAATATATGCCAAGAATATTCTGGACTCCTTCAAGAAACACTCATCCTGAAGATCCATTGCACGTCTCTCCCATTAGAAGCCACTCTGCCATCAGTGCCTCACCACCAGCATTTATTGTCTGGGAAGTCTAAGAAAAGCAGATGTGAAACCTAATTTTTCTGAAGATGCAGAGTCACTGCACTGCCTTCTGCCTGAAGGATCCCGAGGACTGCAGCAGAGCACATCAGTCCTCACCTCAGTGGATACTATGCCACTGAGGGGCTGACCACAGAAGTTGTGATCAGACCATGCCCTGAGCAGTCTGAGCACCTCGAACTGCCCCCAGCATTCAGAAGATTAGATGGTTGCCTTACCAACAATGGTACCCAGTAGTAATTTAACGTTGGCACTTCCTGTGCAAAGACTGGTATTTTCTGTGTGAAGAAAAAGAATGCAAGGACACCTGCAAGAAGCACAGGCAATTAGTGACTTCCATGCTAGCCCTTATTTCTTAACATCTAAAGAATGGACGAGACAGACAACAGATCGAAGGTTGGTTTAAATAAAAGTCTGTAAACAATAAATTCCTCAATACTAATTATCTAACAGAAGATATATGTAAATGAATTCATTACCATAAACATACTCATGGGCCCAGAAATATTTTAATGAATTTGTCTGTTTCATCATTCTGCTGAATTTAATAGCAAAATTAATAAATGATGTAATTCTACAGTAATGACAAAATATTTTAAATGAGTTCTTGTTACTAGTTTTCAATTTTTGATTAAAATATAATTAATTAGTTATCTTTTAAGGTATACAGAATGCAAAATATGGTTATTTGTAAAATGTTTTTTTAAAACTGCTGTGACAATTTAAAAAAACAAAAGGGAATACTGCCAACCTGAATTTCTGAAATTGTTTCATTTAAAAAACAGAAAAACACTTTTCTGTCACAGAAAACCATGAGTAATCTATTTTGATATTTACTGATAACCAAGAAAACCCTATAAGAATGCTAGAAATATTCTACTTCTTTAGCTTATAGTTTTAATGGCCTAGAATACAGCAGAGCTTCCAGCCTATCTCCTGCAGACCTGAAACACCTCTTCTAGGCATCTTGTCTGCTACCAGGTGAATCTCATTTGCAATTTTGTTCAGTTCTTATGAAAGGAGAACTGACTGTGGCTGACTTATTGGGTGTGAATTTGTTTTGATCCAACTATGATGCTGTGGCTGCAGAAGACCTTGTGCCAGCCACACACACAGAAGAGCCGTAAAAGCAATTAAGGAAAAGATGCTGTCAAGGCACATCAGGGGGTTGGGAGGGGGGAGAAGGGGGAAGAAAAAAGGAAAAAAAAAATTTTAGTTCAATCTTGCAAATTCTAGAAACACAGGAACAGATTTCCAAACAGTCAGACTGATGTTAATTAAGCATATATGATTACAGCAGCCATGCTTGTAGGTACCAGAAACTAGAACACACAACTCAGAAAAAAACCAATTAGCTTACCTACACCACCAGCAACAAGAATTTTCCCCAGGAATAAAAGGAAGTCTGTAACTTTGTCCAGAACTGCAACTCTGTTAAGCAAAAGATAAATGATACATAATCATCACAGAACAGACATTTGTATTCTTTCTCCTTAAATCTATGGATATGGCAAAACATGACCAGAAGCTGTCTTCTGCTGATTTCACAGGCTGACAGAACAACAATACCGATGAGCTGAAATGAGCTTTGTATCATCAAACTCTTCACAGCACTGAGGTCTATGGATATAGTAATATACAGCACTGACTACCATGAAAAATAAACATTAAGAACTACTAAAGAGACCAATCACCATTAATATGTCAGAATTCAGATTTCGCAAAATACACAAGATAAAACATCTTCATTTGAAACAACAAAATTATATGCCTGGCTTTTAGATATTGCTTTTACTGATTAAGAGCAAAATCACAAAGGACAGAGAGATGATATTCTGTAAGGAAACGAAGGCAGCTTTTCTATTGCATAGGCACTACATGGTGTGGACATCACTGCCCTGATATTAGTGCAGACTAACACAGTGAAAGCACTCTATTGTCCCATCTTCAGTCCTTTCTTCTTCTTCCTGAAGCATCATTTCCATCTTCTCCTTCAGCCTCCCCCTCCATTTCTCTCCTCCTCCCAGTCCTTCACTTTATAATCTAAACTACTTAACTAGTTTTACTGTGTCTCTTGCTTGGTAATTAGACTGTCTGCTATTGCATCAACATGGCCTGCTCCTAAGTTATTTTCCCACTGTTTTTTGATCTCACAGTAGTAAAGGAAGAGCCAGACACAATGAAGGAAAGTACTGATGAGAACAGGGAGTTTGGCAGCAGACTTGATAGTGGAGAAAAGGGCAGGACAGTTCCCAGCACCTGGGGAGATCTGGTTATGTAAAAGATACCCTTTTTGAAAGCAAAGTACTCTCTCTTCTTTACTTCCACTGTCTGACACCCTATAAGCTTTCTGAATGAATCTCAAGACTTAAGTCTTTCTGCTTTCCTTTTCCCAGACAGTAAGTGGACCAAAGCTCAAGAAACACACATATGGCAGACAATGAGCATCCCATTTCTGTGTATCCACAGATCTCCCAGGGGCACCACTGGTTTCTTGGAGGCATTACTACAATCTACTGGGTACTTATGAATTTAAAGGAGCAATCACAACAAACCCGTGAGATCATATCAACTTTGCACAGGTTACTGTACAGCTGGACAGCCTGCTGTTACACACTGAGTGATAGTGAGGGCCACGGCTGAGGACAGAGCAGCTCACAGTAGTATTTGGAGGAGATATATGAGAGGAAAGAAGTATGTTTTCAGAGTGCAATAGCAGCAACTCCTGACATTTCCAAGGACTGGGAGATGGTCCCTTACCTCACCACATTCCGCATAAGCAAATAGAATGCGTCCCTTGCCGAGGTGCAGAAGTTTTTACCATATATGGCAATCTGAAAAATAATAGTAGCTATTAGGTATTTAAAATAATTAGGATATCTCCTTGTATGCCAGAATCTCCCTGCGTGTAATGCATAGTTTTCTCTAATATATGGCCTTCGAACTCAGATGAACATAAAGCACTTCCCCCAGTCTCCTACTGCTTTCTCAGTGCTTCCCACCAGGTAGGGACAGAGTATTATCCACCTTTCCCCTTCAAATCACCTGGTGATGAGCATGCCACCCCTTGTGATCTTACAGGCAGTAGACTCAGTACTCAGCTTGCCAAGCAGAGCAAAAAAGGTACTCGCTGAGGGTTTCTTCTCCCTTTGCTAGTTACCTACATTAGATTTATAGTCAGTGGAAAGCAACAGGCACTTGTAGAGCTGAAGTGAGCTGACTCCTGTAGGTACCTTCTTGGACCATATGCTGCTTTCACTGAAGAAATCAGCATAAAGTAAAGCAGCTAAAGTTATCCAGGAACAAAACCATTTCTTCCTCGAATAGTGTCCACAAGGGTAAGATACACTGGATACACTTATCTCAGACAGTTTATCAAATGTAAAGACTGTCAAAAACAATACTTCCTCTTCAAGATAGCCTTAATTTGAAACATCAATTGCAGGAACATAGGTTATAATGGACCCATTACAGCCACCTCCTTTGAGACAAGAAGTCTGTGACCATACCATTCAATCACTGAAATTGCTTCAAGTCAGAACATCCTAGGCTTAAATCTGTGTTTGTTTATTTATGTGAAAATTTCAAATTTCTCTTATCTGGAAGCTAAGAAGGGTTATTTTAGAGAAATATCACTACTGCTGCTAGTAGAATTTGTGCTTTTAACTTCCAGGTGGAAATACAGTTATCACATGCCTTCTGACTTCCTTATTCAAACACTGCCTCCAAACAGAAGTGTCATCAACATGCAATATGAAAAAAGGTAATACCCTTGTTGAAATCAGTATCTCAACTGCTGAATCAGAGGGAGAGTTAACCAGTTATGCCATCCCTTCCCACTTGCTTTGGGGGTGGGGGTGATAGACAAAGACAGGCATAAAAAGAGGGTGAGATTAGAAGAAAAAAATTCTTATTTTTTCATGGTAGAACCACATGCATGTCCTGAAAACTCCCATAAATCCCACTATTTATTCAGCAGATTCAAGTACTGCTGACTGTTGACCAACTAGTAATGGCTAGGGTATTTATGTGTCCCAGATAGGGTAGACCACATGTAGACACAGCACATACCATGATGTAGGCATTTCTGTTTATAAATTTTAAGAATTTTTCCAAACACCAGAAACAGCACTTGAGGCAGCAGAGTAGAAATCTAGTGAAGGAGTTCTGAGTACCTAAAAAAACCAGAAGAGAGTACATCATACATAGAATTCATAAACCATCTTCAGAATGTAGAAAGCTATTAAAAAAAAAATCTTAAATTGTGACAAAAGCAGAAATGTTGTTTCTTTCCTCCTAGGTATGAACTCTTTCTCGACCAAATTTATCTCACTAGCTTTCAATTAGATCAGATTCACATTTTACTTGAACTTTACATTACGTTCCAAAGAACATAGACTCAGTTTGAGTAAATTAGCACAAATCTACCAGTTTCAAATGAAACTACAATGGATAAAGATAATGTGAAGTTAATCTCTTCTCATTGCTAAAAAAACACTTGGAAAAGTAAAGAAGTAATTTAGCAAAGGAGGTCTTACCAACCTACAGCAGATTCATAAACCTCACCTTTCAGTTTGTGATCCAAGTACTCCAGTATTACTCTAATAAGCTGGACAATTGCAAGAATTAAGGCGCCGAATGCCAGCGAACCTGTGTGGTATCTAAAATAAAATATATGACTGTTATGTCACACACCTGTACATATGTACAATAATACATATATGTGCATGTGTATGTATATATAAATAAAATTGTAAGTGGAGGAAGGTCCATTAGCGGGAACTCCATAAACTAATGGATCTTCATCCTGATCTGCCAAACAGGTTGAAGCCATTGGTGCTGCTGGTGTTTTTGAGTGCTGTGTCTGTCTGTCAATCTGTGTATATATGTGCTATATACAAGTATTTGGTGTGTGCGTTTACTGGGATCACCTGCTCAGCATTAGGCTGGACCTAGAGACAGGGAGCTGCAGCAGCCTTGGAGGGGTACAGGATCCTGGGCTTCAGCCTTCTCCTAACAAGTACATTTTTCTGACTGTACTGGTTTTGGATGGAGTAGAGCTAGTTTTCTTCAGAGAAGCTTGTGCTGTCCTATATTTTGGATTTATGACCAAGACAGTGCAGATAACACAGCCATGTTTTAGCTCCTGCTGAGCTGCACTTGCTGTTCTGCTCCTCACTCTGCCATGCCAGCAAGCAGGCTTGGGATGCTCAAGGAGCTGGGGGGGGACATGTCCAGGATGGCTGACCCCAACCGTCCCCAGGGGTATCTCACACCATACAGTGTCATGCTCAGCAATAATAGCTGGCAGAAGGAGGAAAAAGAGGGAGACATTTGGAATTACAGAGTTTGTCTTCCCAAGTCACTGCTATGCATGATGAAGCCCTGCTGTCCTGGGGATGGCTGAATGCCTGCCTGCCCATGGGAAATGGGGAATGAATTCCTTGTTTTGCTTTGCTTGTGCACGTGGCCTTCCTTTACCTATTAAACTGTCTTTATCTCAGCCCACGTTTTCACACCTTCACCCTTTGGATTCTCTTCCCCATCCCACTGTGGAGGAGTGAGTGAGTGGCTGCAGGGGCTTGGCTGCTACAGAGATTAAACCACAATGCTGACTAATCATTTTCATCTGATATTCTAAGATTGGCTTCCATAGATGTACAAACAGCACTTGTTGGATACATGACCAGGCTCACAACCAGCTCCATTCTTACCGTATTGCTCGTCCAAATGAAGAGAAGAGCGGCCACAGTGGAATATCAGCTGGTTTTCGATAGGCCCAGTAGTAGGAGGCAAAGGCACCAGCAAGAGTACACTGACCTAGTGCAATTGCAAAATTCACCAGCCAGAGAAAGACAAAGGCATTGGCTAACTGGAAGATGAAGATGTACTTATGGTACAGGCTTTCTCCTCCATAAAAAGCAAAAGTACACTGAGCACCCGGGCACAACTTAGTCACATTGGTTGTGTTAAAAGTCTGAATAGAAAGAAAAATAAACAACACAATCATAAGCAATGCATTCTGTGTACACAGCCTCTGAAGTTTAGCAGGTTAATTTAAATGACATAATTCTGCTCGATGTTTCATTAGTTCATTAAACATTGCACTCCAGCACTACGTAACCCATTTACATATTCAAGGATTCATATCAATGACTTATGAGATGCTTAACTTTAAACTAGGTGTTAGCAAACAGGGTTGTTCACCACATGCCTGAAACCTACATAAATGGAATTTGAATTTCAGAAATATACTTTTAAGATACATAAACACTTCAGTTTCGTTAAAGAAAATCTGCTCACATTAAAAAAAAATATTTATTTGAAAACTAGAGGTCAAATCTGACATTTAGGTAAATCATCACAGTTGAAAGGAAAACAACTGAGCTATGCCATTTCATACAAACTGTGGATGTGTTCACAACTTTCCTTATGTACCTTGGACTATTAAAAGAGAAGCAGTCTTTACATTTAATTACTTTTCCCTATTTCTATTGTTCATTTCATGTATTTGCTTGGTTTGGGCATGAAATAAAACCAAACCAATTTTAAGTACTTTCTTTTGCAACGTTCAGACATCAGCAGGGTGAGGAATTCTTTGGTATATACACAACCACAGCAGTATACTGGAATTTAATGCATCAGCTCCTAGCCGTTCCTCTTGCCCCATTGCTGGGCACACCCGAGCAGAGCCTGGTCCATCCTCTGACTCCTCCCTGCAGACACTGACAGACATGGTTGAGGTCCCCTCTCAGTGTCTCCTCTTGAGGCTGAACAGCCCCAGCTCCCTCAGTCTTTCCTTCTAAGGGAGATGCTCCAGTCCCCTCATCATCTCTGCAGCCTCTGCTGGACCCGCTCCAGGAGCTCCATGTCCCACCCATCCTGAGGAGCCCAGAACTGGACACAGCACTGCAGATGTGCCTCACAGGGCTGAGCAGAGGGGAAGGATCTCCTCCCTGACCTTCTGGCAATGCTCTTCCTAATGCAACTAAGGATCCCACTGGCCTTCTTGGCCCCCAGGACACACTGCTGGTCAGGGACAGTTTATCATCCACCAGGACCACCAGGTCCTTCTCTGCAGAGCTGCTCTCCAGCCTGTGCTGGTGTGTGGGGTTATTTTTCCCCAGGTGCATAACATTTGATAAATATTTCTAGTTTTATAAACATCCTTAAATTCAAACCCAGTCAAGTAAAAATTTTTGACTGAAGGCAAAATTTAGATTAAACAAGACAAATATTTCTTGAGCTTCCTAAATGTAATTATTGTGCCAAAGGAAGCTAAGCTTCTGCTTCAAATCACAGCTAGTCCTCAGGCAACTTTGAGGCACAGCTTTCAAACACTGCCACTGCCTCTAGAAGATCACAAAACAGACTCCTCATGAATTCAAGAATACCAGTAAACTTTCATTTCTGTGTCTTCCTTTCTCACCCTGTAAATTAGGATGGTTAATATTTACAGGACTATTTAGCAGAAAAACTAGTTTATGTCTGTAAAATTCTTTGAACAAAGAAGTGTTACCTGAACAGTAGGTAATATTTTCAGATTTAACATGAGGAATCATTACTTAAAATATGCACATTTTCTACCAGCACTGCCTTTTAACAGTGATTAGGAAATGCAACTAGTATAGCTCTCACTATAGATAAATATTTGTTACACTTACCTCTGGGTCACAAGTCAGGTTTGCATACTTGCACAGTGTTTGATTAGCCATGACTTTATACACAGGTTCTCCTGATGTGGCCAGAAAACTGAACGAAATATTTTAAGGAGGAATCACAGAACTGTAGGCTTTGAGCAACTTAGGATTCTGCAGTGGGTAAAGAGCTCTAAAGAACTTATTCAGGTAACACAAAAACTTCTGTTGCTATGCAGAGATGTATCTGAAGGGTTGACAGACAAGACTGAATACTCTTTTTACTTAGAGAACTAAAGCAAACTCCATCCCAGAGCTGTAATAACCCCATACCAGAATGGGCAGAGGGTATAACCTTGAAAGTTGTCTTTATCTCTCTTGCATATCTATCTTTGACAAGGCAGACTATGCAGTAGTTCTTTGACAGTTTGTATTTTGGTGGTAGATATAGAGCATAAGGATGAATTAACATTCTGACCCTCCTTGTGAATGAAAGAACAAGAGGTTTTCAAATAGCAGTTTTCCCCTTTCTTAATCCTTACCGAGCCCTTGCTGTTTGGGAACAAACAGTGGTTGCTGTCAGGCAATTCAGAGAAGACAGTGCACTGTATATTCTCTCACTCCTTTCTCATACTTTTCTGAATAAAACACATACAGAGCCCACTCCACCCCCAGTTAACTAAGAGACCGTTAACACCAGGCCTGTAGAGCACACAGCACTTTAAAGACCATATTCACTCTTTGCTGAGGGCCCTTTTTAGTCCCTGAAGTCAACCTTTAGTAGTACACAATACCTTGTATGATCCCCCTGCCTTGGCATAAATTTTAGTCCAGTTCTTTTTAATTAGATTAAATGCACTAATTTGTACATCACATGCAATCGTGTGGCAAGGAAGAGTGCATCAGCACATGACGTGCTAAGTGACCAAACAACCCTCTTAACACTGCTTTGATTAACATGAAATAGCAGAGAATTATCTAGTCTTGCAGATCAGAAGACTTGCTCCAGAGAGGTACATGGAAGGATACACAGCTGTCACAGCCCAGTAGGAAATACAAATTGCAATGAGTATGAAGGTGACGATGGGGTAGAACAGTGTAGACATTATATAGCCAATAGCCCTATGAAAGAAACAAAACATATCAATAAGCTACAAAAATTCCAGAAACAAGCTTTTTATCAGTTCTCTTCTAGCAATTTTACTTTGAGATCCTTGTTGACAGTCGTAACATAATCTAGCACTGAGATCTCAGAATACTGCAGGAACTTTATTCAAATGTCTTCAAATATTGACTTTGTCATTTCTACCGCTCCACTTTTATCAACAGTAGTACTACAGTGAACTTTATCTATTTGCCATGTTCCAGCCTGTCTTCTTTCTCCTTCTTTATGACTGCTTCACATATCCATCTCTTTACAGGCCACTGACCAATTTCCATGACATTTCCTTGCTGACTGCTGCAGACATCACTTTTTATGTCCTTATCCCACTCTGCTCATCCCATGCTCTTCCTTCAGCTCCTACAGACCTGAAATTACCTTGTTCTACTCTGTATCTGACAACTCTGTTCCCAGCTCCTTTCCTGCCTTAGAAGTGCTAGCTATTTTGGGGCAGAGACAGTCAACTTGTTTTTGCAATGCCAGGACATGCTTACAGCTTCCTGTGACTACGTGACTTTCCTTGCATGTGCCATAGATGAGTGGTGCTCACCTTTGGCCACTGGCAGGCAAGAAGAATAATGGCCTTTCGCTGCTGACAGCATAGAGGGCTTCTTTTAACAGCAAGGCTTATGTTTTAGAGAGTGACATTCTACTGCTAATTCTTGTGGATAGAATGTGACTAGTGAGCAGGAACTTGAGGATGCCAGTTCCTACTCTGCCAGTGACAACTTCTCTGTAAAAGAGGGAGCTGATATAACCCCTCTTGGTAAACTGGCTGCAGTTATCTCAGAAGGGAATAACTCCAGCTGGGTATCTCACTGGACATGAATTCAGAGAACATGTGCTTTGTTCACTGAAGCTTACAGTCATTAACAGTCTTTACATGCCTGTCATCTGTCTTGTCCTGTTACTCTAAATTTTCTTTCCTGTGACCCTGTAAGCCTATCACAAGCCTTTTTGTCTAGTACTATTTCCCACAGTATTTCTCCTATGACTTATGGCACTTTTGATGTTATTTGTTTTATAGGATGCAGTTCTCAGAATGCAAAAGGAGAAAAATTTACTCAGTTTCTACAGGTAAAGTAGCAAATGCTGGGGGGAATGCAAGGAAATTGTCATGTGCAATCAGCAGGTTATGAGCAACACACCAATTGTTTTCTGAGTCCAGAGATGTAAAAGTCACACAGGTGGACACAGCCTTATGCTGTGTGAGAAAAAATCACAACATATTAGCTGTGTTCAGCAGTTAATGGTAGGCCTCTTAGTTACCTCTAAGACCATGGACAATTATTCCAACAAACTGAGTAATAACTTTTGTTTCTGACTATGGATTTCAAGTCAATTATTAGCATTATAATTGTAATACTTTTGAAAAAATAGTTAAAAGGTATTGAAAAACATAACTTGACTTCCAGTCATCAGCAGCTTATTTTTCATCTTTCTGAATACAGGGCATGGTCTATTAGGTTTACAGTAATTACATACACTGTTTCATCTCATGCATTATGCACAAGAGTAAAAACTTCATCCTCAATTGACCTTTCCATGCTGCTGAAAAACTACAGAATGTGATTACTTCTCAGCAAGAAGTTTATGAACTTTCTAAAATCCTTCTACCTGTCAAGGTTGTAAGCAAAGGTTTTTAAGAGTGCTAAAAGTGTCTCTGGATTTTAATGAACAGGAATTAAAGAGTTTAATTTAGTGCTGCCAAAATTAATTGCTATGCTGTAATTGCACAGTAGCATAACACAGGCAACAGGTACCTGGCTGAATGCTGAACTTCCGTATTTCTTAATCCCATCACAAAAATCCCTAATCCTGATTCCTAGGAACCACAATGTCAATAGAGATGGCAGAAGACCACAAGGAAGTGCATACAGAAAAACTCAGAGCTAACCCTCTGTGCTCTTAACAACACAGCTCTGCTTCCAAGGCCTCTGAGATCACAGCCTATTTGCAAAATAATCCAAGGGCCTGAGGTTTAAGTCCATTTCTCCTTTGTAATATTCCCATTTAAAAAAAAAAAGAAGTGTTGGCACTGTGTAAAACAGAAACCACTGTGAACAAAACCTATGCATATTTCAGGAAACACAAAATGAAGACGCCCCTTACGCCTTCAACTCTCACATCCTGCTCTGCTTTCTTCTTTACTCAGAGCTAAAAGGAGGTGTCTTGGACTGCAACCTTTTAAAATGTCTGGTCACAGAAACCTCCTTTTCTCTCTGCAGATTTATGCCTGTCCACACAAAAGTTGGATTAGAGCCAGAAGAAACCAGTTTTTCCTAAATAAAAGCCACAGACAAAACAACATCAATCCTCTACCACTAGTATATCATTCCAGAGACAATCCAATGACAGAGCAAAGTTGGCAGTTATAGGGCCCAGGCTCCTATTAACAGTGTACCACACTTAGCTTTTCTGCTGAGACACCTTCTTGCACTGAGCATATGTAGTAACATCAACAATGTATGTATTCTTAAGGCAGGAAGCTGAGAGATAAGAAATACCTTATAAAAATGCCCTTATAAGCACAATGTCATTAATAGAAAACTGGCATTCCTTATATTACCTGTTTGGTTCAACGAATCCAGTGTTGTATTTTAACGCCCAAACTTCTGCCTTTGGTATTGGAGCTTGAGAAGACTGTACTCTAGAGATCATTTAACAGAATTCAAAATGTATTAAAATCAGACAAACATACCTACTACCTTCCTTCAACAGTGCAATAGCAATCCGGATCCGATTTCTTAGGAAGATCAGCATCAGTATGATTATGACTTCAACACCACAAAGTATTATCACTGTAAGCAAACAAACAAAAAAGTTAGATTTATCAAGAACCAAACCTCTGTAATTTTTTTCCCTTGTATTTTACACTACTGTTCATGAACTCCACAGAATTCTCTACTTGAGCAGTTCTCTTTCTCCAACTGCACCTCTCAAACTTCAATCCACTTCATGCAGTTCCACTGTAAGGAAGTTCTGTATGCAGAGAGCTAATCAGAACTTGCAGGACCCCGATATTAGCATTTATATTTTTAAAAGAAAAACGGAGCATATAATTCTCAGACAAAGACAAATATTTACTTTAATGTAATTGCAGTATCTAGCTTTAGATACAATTCATTCTTTACAAATTCTACTTTTCATAAACAAGCATTTTGCATGTTCATATGATAATGCCGCTCATTTGTAGCATTTAGATAACAATAAAAAAAAAGAGATGAAGAGACAACTTTTTCATTAAGAGTGCTATTGTTCTAAAATTTAGATGCACTAAAATCAATAGATTTGTTTGAGCATTAACCTGACATGAGCTCCTTTCACCTCCTTTGAGTTAAAATAAATAAAAAAAAGAAGAGACTACAATTGGACAGTTTTGGACAAATTATTTTCACCTTCCAGTTGTGCTGATGAAATAATACACATTTGCTCTGAGGTTAGAGCTCTGAGAGCACCATGCTCCAGAACAATTCCTCTCTTAGTTATAAGCAATATTTGAATCATAACCCTCATCTGGGTAAAGGGTCTGCTTCTGTCTGATTTCCATTTGTGCTGGTTCAAAACCTACTTCTGCAGTAGAAAGTAAGAAAATTCTGTGGACTTCCATCTAGAGAAGACAGTTTTTAATGCCTGAAGTACATCTCCTCTGACTCTGAGACACATCCATGAATTTTTTTGTCCTTTGGATCGCTAGATAACATTTAAACCAGCCCAGCAGGTGTGGGTGGTTGCACACAAGAAGTTCTCTGGAGGGAGAGGAAGACAGAAGGGACAGTGTCCATAAATATACTTAAACTTGTATGGAGATTTGCAAAGGAACATAAAACTTGGCTTTAGGTCCCACAGCTCAGACATAGTCTCAGAATATCAGACCCAGATACTCACAGATGATGTTAAATTGCAATCCCAAGTATTATCAGTACTCCTGGCAAAAGAACTGCAGGTGGCAAGTGACTGCTGTGGTGCTCAGAGCCACAGATCTTGTTCAGAACAAAGTTTTTGTTACACACGTTTCAATATCACCTTCCCATGAAGAAATATAAAACCAGGTTTCTTTAGAGTTGGTCTCATTTCAATTCAGCTCTGTTAAGTTAAGGTACTTGTTCCAAACATTGTGAAAAAGGCAAGCCATGGCAGTACATGATGAGTTCTAGACTAGGACTACAAGTACACTTTCTTCAAGGATATTTAACTATTTATTTTGCTGGGCGATGTTGGAAAAGCAATGTAATTCCTGAGTATCTCCATTTACTCATCTGAAAGTGACACTGACTTCTAGATAAACTATACACTGGCTGCTAGGAATCACGCAGGAAAAGAGCTTGAAGAGTCAGAAATAAAAAAACATAATAAAGTCCCAATATTCTCTAGGGATAGCATATTAAAAATTTCTGCCTCAACAATTATAGAAGATGCCTCATGAGCTCAATAATCCAACATAGAGGTAAATGAAGACACAAAGAAGAGAAAGGAGATTTAAGCAGTATACTACTGCTCTATTAATTTAGCTACCAATAGGGAGAGGCAGTGTTTTAGGTTATGTCATCATCAGTTAAGTGTCTATGTGCCTTCTAATAGAACAGTAACAGGAATGCAATACTGGACAGGTATTTGTTCTCTCTTCTGTCTCTCCTTTCTTGGGTAGGAATATGTGTGCTGCGGGCTGCCTTGTTCCAGGAAGATGTTGTTTTAAATACACTGCCCTGCAGGAGAAGGCAACGGAGCGCTTTTGAAAAGAAAGCTGATGAAATGTGCCATGGTTCATTTCACAGCCTTAAATCAGCCTCCAAAAAAATTCAGTGACATGAACGTAAATTGAGGGGAGACCTCATTAGGGTCGTCAACATCCTCAGGAGGTGAAGCAGAGGGGCAGGTACAGATCTCTTCACTCTGTGAAGATGAGTGACCACTGACGGGTCTTGAGGAAATGGCTGGAGCTGAGTCAAGGGAGGGTTAGGTTGGATATTAGGAAAAGGTTCTTTCCCCAGAGGGTGGTTGGGCGCTGAACAGGCTCCCCAGGGCAGTGGTCACAGCACCAAGGCTGACAGAGCTCAAGAAGCATTTGGACAATGCTCTTAAACACATGGTGGGATTGTTGGGGCATCTGAGAAGGGCCAGGAGTTGGACTCGATGATCCTGATGGGTCCCTCCCAACTCAGCATATTCTATGACTCTAAGATACAAAGATGTAGTTACTCATGTGAGTTATTAATCACAATTCTGGAGCCCTCAAAGAGGGAGAAAAAATAAACTGGGAGTGAAAAATGCCCCTCCTTATGCAACTTCATCAGGACTAACTTGATTATTGCCTTCTACTTCCCCATGATGAAGACTGAATACACAGGAAGTAGAATGCTAATAACATAAGAATTTTTCACTCGTATCACTATTGTGATTGCATTATCTTCCTTACAAATATACTAGTCTCATTTAAAAAAAGCACATTTTTATACAATACAGAGAATTGGAATTGTTTGCTTCTCTAGGCACCATATGTAGAGGACAAGATTTAACAGGGCAGGAGCTGTAGAAAGACACTGATTGATTCTCCTGAATATACATTAACAGATATCAAATTTAAAGGGCACTTACTAAATGCTAACCATGTTTGCCTCAGTTGCAGGTACACTTTGAAGTCTGTCTGGAATCCAATATCATAAACAGTGAGGTCAGATCCAGGTATTCCTTTAAGATGATCATATTCCCAGTAACAATGCCAGATGCCTTTTAAAAAACAATCAATATAACATGAGTGTTTCTGAAGAATGCAAAAACAAATTTTAACAAAAATCTTTTACAAGCCAAGCGTTTTGTCTTCAGCCTATCAGGTGAGCAAAACCCAAAAATGCATCACTATGAGCCTAGTCAATTATAATATCGGTACAAGTGATGACACACTGAGCATACTGTGTGTAAATAAGGCAGTTTACTACATCTGGTGCTAAGTATCAGCACAGCTGGATTCTTCCTACATTTTGCTGTCACTTAAGTCCTTCTCACTTAACTTTGTCTCAAACTAGGCATTCATTCTACCATTTAATTGATGTAACTACTGATTTTCCTTGCCCAAACTTAAGCAATAAAGAAAGATAGCCTCAGAGGCTAGAAGATTATACTTACCATAACCTATAATTCCAATCACACCAAAGATGAAAATCCAGAAGAGAACCCCAGCCGTGAACCTCAATAACACAAGGAAGAGCAGACTCAGCATCATTGCAATGAACAGCCCACTAGAAAGAGAAGAAAGAAACGCAGGGAAAATGAGTGTGAGAATCTATTCACTTTCTTGTATCCCTGTTACTCCAAATGAGGGTCACTTCATCTCACATAAGAGAATGATTTGTAAAAATGTACTTCAAAATCTTTGTTATGAAATACAGTCTCCTGGCTATTATCTGCTATTACAAACCAATAGTTTATATATGACAGTCTCACAGGGCAGAGCCTGAAATATTTGTAGGCACTAGGTTCTCAGGCTGGCTGAATGGGACTAATACGAGGCCCTTTTTGTCACTTACACCAGTTGTACAACCCCCTGTCTTTTTCAGGCCATGGTCTAATCTACAGTACAGAGTACTCCGAGTCTCCTGCCACTAACGACTGTGAGCATGGTATCAGACTATGAGCAAGCTGTCCCTCCGCCAGTGACTGAACACCTTTAAAAGCTTAACTGATGTTTCTGAAGTAATTCTCCATATTATTATCTAAAGTATGTATTTATTGTCATGGATTTGCATTCAGGCTTGACTAATGCTTAATATGTGCATGTTACGGGCTCTCACCTGGCAATGACTTCTGTTCCCGTTTAAACTGAACACTCTGGTCCATCAAAACCAATATTAATGGGTTAAGAATGCACAAATTACATATTTGCTTCAGCAAAGTAGCTACTTCTTTTGTTTCAAATTTGTTTTAATTAATTGGTGATTAGCTAGTATTAATTGCAAGATGAAGTTAATACTGTTCAATACTTTTTGTTCTCGATGTTGCTTTGCCTGCTGCATTGGAGTTATGGATTTATATTGGACTTACGGATTATAATGGATTTAACTATATATTGCTAATATGAATTTAGAAATTATGTGGGGTTTATACATATATACACTAATGACACTTAGCAACTGCAACTGGTTTGAAAGTCACTTAATTCAGATTTTTGAGTTTTGGAATTGCCATGCAGATGGGTCCTGCAAGTAAACACAGCACCTCCTCATTTTCTGTCTGGCAGGACATTAAAAAGCTACCCCAGATCAACTGATGCTCTATGTATGTATGCTGTACTATCCTTATCTCACGCACAGAACCACAACAGTTTTATTATCATGTGATGAAAGAAAATTACAGTTGCTCCTTGAGTTTTAAAGTAGGATTGGTACCAAACACATACATGATATATTTTTTTATTCCCTGTATGCTCCAAAGTGAGTTTGGAAGAATAAAAAATACCCATGAAAATCTTACATTAAAATCCAATACCAAGAAATGGCATAGTCTTCAAAAATTTTCACTCCAATTGATCTTGCATCCAGAACATTATTGATGCCGCTGAGAAAAAACAAATCAAAGAAAAGGTTGCTTCAGGTAGAAAAGCAGAATGTATTTAAACAACAAATAGGCTCAGTGGAAGAATGTGAAATATCTTTGCTAGTGATAAAAGTATATTACAATTCTTCAGTTCCAGTTCTGTCATCAAGCCAACATCAATCACAGTTATAACAAAGAAAAAAACTGCATAAGTCTCTCTGCAATTAGTGAAAAAAATTTTATTAAAAAGGTTTTACTAAAAAGGCTTTATCGCCAGAGTGTAGTCTATTCATATCTGCAATGTAACAATGGCCAAACAGTTATGACTCTAGGACTGCTAATAGCATAGAACCAGAAAGCAGCTCAGAGAAGCAAAAGGTTTACTTTATGGAACTGTTTTCCTACCCTGCAAAGTGCTTGCCTGTTTTATTTTTTTTCTAAGAATAGCCCAGTACATTGTTTTTTCCCAAAAGCAGGAGAACCGTGATGAGGTGAGATGCCCAAAGGACAACCTATGATAGTAGAAAGGCCACCACAGAAGAGGGTAGCCAAGGCCATCACTGGCTGGCCTGAATCCTGCAGCAGAAGGTTTGCATCTTGAACTTACCTAGCAAAACTAACTTTTTAGAGGAAAAAAACAAGAATGATTTAACCAAATGAAAACTACTGAGACAATCAGACTAAAACTTTTTGCTCCTTTCTGCACATCACAGTGCTGGATTTCCTTAACTGAAATTTGGAAGTGCTCAGGCACAGAGAGATCACTTACTACCAAGTCCTGCTTGGGTACTCTCAGCCATCGGTTACAAGAGATTCTGATTATTTTTGAATTTCTAAATTATTGCACAGTCTCAGAATCCAACAAATGAACACTGAAAAAGGGTAAAACCTACTTTGCAGCTTCCCTGAGATCAGTTACATTTCTTGTTTTCCCTCCTCCATCTTTGAATGTAGTCTGATTTGCCACGGTCAACACACCATTCTTTGTGGAGAAGTCTGGGAAGCATCTCTTAAGAACTGTTCAAAGTATCAAAACAAAGTATGCATATTACATTTCACGTCAAGCTCCACTTGTATCATTTTTCTTTTGTAACATATTTAAATAATTTCAGATTTGCAGTCAACTGATTATCTAACAATATGCTGACTTTGACAAATCTTGGAAGAGCCATTACATTCAAGATTATGATTTTTATGCTCTGGGGCTTTTTGTCCAAGCTCAGGCAGGGTAGGATCATAGATTTCAACTGGAGATTCTAGGTCCTACCAAACAACAACAGTAGTATATGTAAAAGTTTAAGAACTTGTAATAAATGTGGAACTTACTCTCTGTCAGTATCTGGGCAGCTTACAAAAACTGAAGCTTCTCAAATATGCCATTTCATGGTAATAATCAGACCAGCCCCCAGGGACAGACTCAACTTGACTGGTCACGAATGGTACTAGCACCCAAAACAATACATAACAGCAAGTGTCAGTTCCTCATATGCCAGATGAGTTCCAGTACCAGCCACTATCACTAGATATTCTTGGAGAGGAAGCAATGGAAAAAAGACAGAAACTATTGGTTAGACAGAGGGAGGAGGAGATTATAAAAAAAGAGAGAAAAGGAGAGATGTTTGCACACTCATTTATGCTGCCCTGTTCTTTGCTGCAAAAAGTCCTGGGTTTTATTCCAAAGGGAAGAGCAGGTCAGTCCTCCTACACAGTTGTACTTTATATAACCATTCAGTGCTTTCCTTATCAGATTCCAATAAATATTGATGCCAGGGTTCAATATTCAGTCTGGTATATCTACCCCAGCAATTATTCTGACTAAATAAGTAACGTGCCTCTTTTCCTCCCTCTGTAATCCCTGCCCCTTGTCGTAGTCTAAAAGAAGATAATGGTTTCTTTGCAAATTATTTTCTGTCTTTTGGGTCAGTACATCAGTTTTAATAGGAATTCTTACTATGTTTTTAAAACCAAATCCATATTTTCTCCTTTAATAACCTGTCCCTGGTTTACATGATGTCCATTTTAAAGCATGGCAAAAATAAACAGCAATTTCTTATTTGCATAAGCTTCTGGGTCAGTATTACATTTCTGCAGGTGAGATGAGCTCTGAGATCTGTGGTTATCTACTCAGAAATATGTGCTGACCACAGTGACAAAAACATTTTTGACCCCTTAATTCCTCTGTATGCCCTGCATAGCCAGCACTGCAGCTGAAAAGAGCTGCACTGCAACTGGGCTGAAGTATCGTGTGAATTTCAAAAGCTGCCCATATGAGCCTCCCCACATTCATAACATTTTCTTGATGCCAGTGGGGTTGCTTCCTCACATATTTTGGAAGGCACAATTTGAGCCATAAAACTTTTGTTATCAGTGATGATTCAAGAGCAAGAAAGAGCTCAGCTTGACCTGATCACAGGCTGAATGTTTCCAGATGACAGTTAGAAGAAATATTAGTAAATATTTATATTTTCAAACTCTTTAAAATTGAATGGATGTGACTGTCAGATAACAGACAGTTCATAGTGACCTTGCCACTATGAAAAACACACTTCAGACTGGAGTTGTGCTTTAATGTGAATGCTCACAATCTGCTAAGATGTGTGTAAGAAGTAGAACCACTCACAAGGCCTGCTTGGAATGATCATCGAAGGACAATCTTCATCACGTAGGACTTGAGCAACAGACTAAAAAGGGGAAAAATAGCAATGCTGAATACATAGCAGAATAACTACATGGTTTTCGTTTCTCATCCAGTCTGACGGAATGTCCCAAACTGGGCTTTGTAGCCTCCTCCCCAAACCTGGTTGATGGAGCTGCAAGATATATTCATGATCTAAGTGAGAATCCAAACTGTCACTGTGATTTGGGAAAAGACTATTCTTCTTTTCTTTTCTAGTGACAAAAAAAGAAAAGACCTGTTCACTTTGGATCACCATCTAAGCCAGAAGTGACTGGGCAATTGTTCCTTGCCTCCCTTTCACCTTTTCTCTTAAAGAAAGTAAGAATTCAGCACAACTAATATAGCTGAATTGCAAGGTGTTTTAAAGATTGGAGAAACAACACAGTAAATTTGAGTGCAAAATCAATAACATGAAGGATAGATTAATTTTCTTAGCTAAATTTCTAAGTGGCTATAGATGACTTACGAGCCTTAAGAATTGGTTTGAGACACTGCTCTACTGCTGTGGAGTACATAAGTACTTACCACAGTGCTGCAACTACATGGGTAGCTGCAGATATTCTTTTAAGCAAACAGCTATCATTTAAAGAGTGGGGAATTTAGTGTGTATACAAGACCTTCACCCTGGTTTAAGCGACTGTCAAATCACATAAATGGGACATGTGCTTATACGGTGACATCAGATAATTCAAGTCTTTGATGCAGTTCAGTAAAATTATGTACATTACACTTTGCTTGAAGAAAAAATATATTCCATCACCTACTGATAGATACACACCTTGCGAGGATTGTTAAAGCCAGGTTTGCAGAACTGCCTGAAGTAATTCCACTGATCTGGTTTATATCTGTAGGAAGCCTGAACATCAATGTAAGTTGCAAACCTGTCTGGGCACTTTGAAACACAAAGCTGCAAGAAAAAAAAAATGAGTAAAGATACACTGGGGGTAGAGAAGGGTGAGGAAAATCAGTGCAATGGAAAAGCAAGAAAAAGGCCACTGCCTTCAGTATTATTTACTGCAGGATTTAGAAAGGGATGTATGTTGTCCTTTTGATTCCCTAGATGAATATTTCTAAAATTCTTTGACAGAACACACTTTCAAAGTCTCTCCTCATATCAGGCATATCAAGCCCCTCTCTGTACCTTTTTAGGTTTTACACATTCTGGTAGATAAGCAGAGCTTTCAGTCTGTTGAAAAGAGCATTATTTATTTTTTTTTTGAAGAACAAGAAAAAATCTGTCAGGTCCTCCTCTACTTCTATCAGCAGCAGTGCATATGAATGAGGTGTTGTGGCAGCTACTTCCACAGGATATATGCATTTTCTTTCTACTACATGTATAAGGAGAACTTTATTTTAAAAAAGTCTCACTAAAATTAAAAGTCTCAGGTAATATTGTTCCATCCTTCTACATAGTCTCTTCAGTCAAATACATCTCTACAAATATTGTCAAGTCAAGATAGTCATAAATCACTCAAAAGTGACTTTTAACTGCTGACAAAGGCTGGATCTTCCCTAGTTACAACACAAGGGGGTGCACACATCAGGAATGAAGTTTACACCACTCAAGGTACAACCATTATAAGTTGGATTTATGTGAGAAAGCAAGTAATGACTGGGGTTTAATGAATGCATCCACTAAGAAGCTGTGGTTTAGATTCAGGGCATGGAGAAGTGGCTGCCCAAATACACAGACTCTGAAGGCTCTGCTGGTCACTGGAATCACAGAAGTGGAGAATGTTCTGACTCCTCAGTGTTAACCCTGGGACATAAAAGCCATCTTTTTAGCAAGTTTCAGCCTCTTCTAGAAGGCAGTTTGTTTCCAAAGCTGTGCTCTCCAAACACGCCTTGCAAAGCTCTGCTATACAAGTACCAGAGAGATATCATGCACAAAACTGTTTTTCATGTCAAGGGCATTCCACCATATATGATTCACCTAAAGGAACTTTAGAAAAAGTTGTGAAGTAATCCTTAGAACAGGCCAGATGCAGCAAGAGGATCTTTCTAGATGAGTACTTCTGTCCTATGGACTACCCACAGGCCAAGAAACAAAGAAAGCAGAGTTTTGTCCTTGCTGGGACAACAGGTGACTAACAGGCATACCCTTTACTACACCCTGCCTGCCATCTTTGAAACAGGCAATGAAATGCGCTGCCTGTGGATCCAGTGCACTGTAACAACAGTTTGCAAATCCACAGGCTTGCTCAAGAACTGAAGCTCTTACCCCATGGCAGTTCTTGGGGTTTTTTCTCCTGCTAGTTGATATGGATAGGACAGGAATGAAGGACCCTGTCTGCAGTTCAAAAGAGAAATTATCAAACAAACATTTCTTCAACATTTTCCCCAAAGACCAGAGATTTAGCCATCTGCAGTAACAAACAGTATTCAAAAGCATTTTTAGTTTTGGAGATGCTGCATGTTTGAAAATGAACAAAATAACTACTCCACTCCAACAAACTCTCCTGAAATAAGTATTTCACCTTACTTGATTCATGGCCATTACCAACTTGACCACAGCACCAGTCAAATCTCACACAATGATCTCAGTATTTCTGAACAGACTGAATCGTTCCAGTAAGAGAGGTAAAGACTGCAGGGTAACAGTGTTGGTGTCTGCATGTTGACAGATGGGGATTCCTGAAGCAAAATCTGCTGCTGATAGAAAAAGGTTTTGTTCTGACAGCAACTGGCCAATTGTTAAGAGGGTTCTTGCTATTCCTTGCTGAAGATCTCCACCTCTTCAGCTGTGTCAAACTGTTCATAAAGTCACATCAACTGGTAAGTCATAAATATCTATCAAGGATAGGGATCAGGAGTAAGGGCAAGCAAGAATGGGAAACATTTTAAAATGGTAGTCCAGTAAGTAGACAATTAACATTTGTAATCAGTAAATTGGTTACTGTGTAACAAACCTCATCCAAATTAACACTGGACTTCACTGGGTGTTGTCAAGATGAATGAGACCACCATCTGTCACCTGTAGTTTAACTGCACTTTATTTTGGCAGCAAAGCTGGATCAGAGCAGTCCTGCACCTAATTCCTCTGACCTACCCTATGCTCTAAGTTGTTGCGCCTCTTAGGATGAACTGACATAACTGGTTGTGCAATTATTCAATAAACCAGGTCAGTAAAGTGGTCTTGTAAAAAAGATTAGGAGGATAATTTTAACCCACACAAGTTCAGTGACTGGGTTTATTTCACAGCTTCATGAGGAATTGCAGCACAAAGGGAGTACAAAGTGTGGCATAAGGCAAGAACAAGTTTTCAAAATCTTCACTTTTCAAAGTGCCATAGGTTCTAACCACACCCAGATACTCCTGTCACTGGCAGTATGCACATTTTCTTGAACATGTCTAGCTTTGAAAACCAGAGGTGTCAATCCATATTTTCTGCATGCACTGAATACTACTGGATAGCTGCCTGTGATGACTTCATAAATCACAAATTGCTGTATTCAACTCAACAGACTTTTTTTGTCAACTCTTATCAAAAACACACAATCTTGTATGTTTCTATTTAATTTTTCTGACCATCACAGGCTACAGAGACTGTGTGCTACAAGTCATCTATAAAACAATCATGTTATATTTTGAAAGACATGAACAGCAATTTTTAAATCCAAACAAATGTATGCCTAGTTCTTAAGCACCATGACTAAGATGCAGGGAAAATAATTTCTCTCTCCATTTCACTCACCTGTGTTGTAGGGCACTGCAGGTTTATTAACACTACTGGGCTGGCACATTTCAGAATGTTGAAGTAAAACAAAATGGTCTTGTTCCTATGGAAGTGGATATAAGATAATTAATGTCATAAATATAGGTGTTTATACATCCTACCATTCCAAAATTTATAGCATACATTGATATTTAAATTCTATAACCGTGAATGGCCATATTGTAAACACAAGACAAAAAAAATCCCAAGCAAAAGTTCCACATCAAGACATCTCTGAAAACAGAAGTATTTGTTCTAAAGAATTCTAATTTCGAGAAGTTTTTTCCACAGTCAGGTTTTAAGCCGAAACAATTCATGTGTCCATAGTCCCGTCTCGAAAGGGTGAGGTCTGTAAAGTAACCCTGGCAAAACCACCGTGGTCTCTGTGCTTCCACTGAACATCCTGTGAATGCACTGCATGCAAACTCACCATCAGAAAATGCTACACTGTAAAAGCTGCCTAATTTTTGTTGATCAGAAGGTGGCACCAAAATCAATCAGAAGCTTTTTATAGTTGGAAACCAAAAGCAGTTGGCCAGAAAACAGAATGATAATAGCATCTACTAATAACACTGATAAACCCCCTCTGATATAAATAGGAGTCAGTTTGAGGGGTTTGCAGCACAGAAGCCACACACCTGACAGCTACTAGAACTTGGGACCTTGCAGTAGCTGTCACTTCAGTTTGGATTTGTTGAAAACTGAGGACCCCAAGATCTCTTGACTTGAAGACCTGGGTTTTGAAGACAGCAAAACATGCTGTTAACCTTTGCTATGTCAGAAAATTATCAGATAGCTCTAGTGAAGATGATATGGCAGTAGTCCTGCCCTTTTTACACAAGACTTCAAAGCCAGGACCATATTGTGTCCCTGTAAGAAATAATGGTGCATATGGCCTGCTATGGCCTATGAAGGTCCACCAAGTTGATCAGAGGGATGAAGCACTTCTCCCAAGAAAAAAGGCTGAGAGAACTGGAATTTCTCAGCACAGAGAAGAGAAAAGGCTCAGGGGTGACCTGAAGATGGAAAGAGACTGTTTGCAAGAGCCTGGAGTGACAGGACAGGGGGGAATGGCTTCAAACTGAAGGAGGAAAGGTTTACATTGGGAAAAAATTCTTCCCTTTGAGGGTGGTCAGGCACTGGCACAGGTTGCCCAGAGAAGCTGTGGCTGCCCCACAGGGACTTTGGAAAACCACAGTTCTGGGTCAGCCTTTCACACTGCTTAGTTTTATGGAATCTGAAAAACAACAGTACTGACAAAAGCCTGACAAGCACATCCCACACCTCCACTTTTGGGGACTAGAAGGCCTCATTCAGAAGGGTGTCCTGGCCTACTGCTATAAACACTCTTGTTTTTCCTTTAGGTTGTATTATATGTTTTCTGGTTTATATTTTTATAAGAAACTCCTCAACGTGGGAAATTAGTGCCAAAATGCAGTCTCAGTCAGTAGCTGTATTATCCTCCAGCAATCATATATATGGAGGGACATTTGTTAACACAAACCGGAAACCACATAGTAAGAAACAACTAAAGGGAAGATTTGAGTAACAAAGAGAAAGAGGGAATGGGAGTGAATTATAAGAATCAGAGAGAAGCACCTGCCACCACACCACACAGTGTATGGAAGCCATGTCTCTGAGACTCCCAAAACCATTTGCTCACTGTTTTTACAGACCACAAAGGGGACAAGGACAAATTTGGGGTGAAGCGATGAACAGAGAAGGGGTGCACTGAGTGGAACACACACAACGCTACAACTTTTTCTCCTTGTTTTTCCTCTTCAGGAAGTTGGACTCTCCAACAACTGCTGTGAAGAATCTAAATCAGAGCATAGAACACATCTTCTTACACTAACTAGTCTGTTTCCTCTGTAAAAAAACCCTGAGAGTATATATACTCCTGCTCCCCTGCCTTCTGAACTCCCTTTGGACAGTGACTTTTTCATTTTTTTCCACAGAAAACTAAATGGGGAAAGAAAGACGCAGCAAAGAGTTGTTATCAAATGTTAGTATAACATCCATATATATATACACATATTTATATCCATCCAGTGACAAGGGCATAAAGGGTGCCTAAGACATACTTTTTAAAAGAGAGAAGTAAGGGAAGAAGCAAACTTTTAAAAATTCTATTTCATAAACCACTTAGATTTTCAAAGAAAACATTGATGCGACATCTTTCTTCCCTGAGTGGTTATTTTCATGTAGAAGTACTCTGTTGAGATCAACTAATTAATTTAACTCTTACAATTCAAAATTTAAGAAGACTGGAACACAGACATGAGTTAATAGAGCCCCTTGGGCTCTATTTACCTTCTATTTACCCAAGGAGTGTGTGGTTACAGTTGCCAGTCTCCCAGACCACTCCGTCTCCTCTCTACTGGCACTGGATAAGCACCAGAAAAAACCATGCTTTTCATTACAGTCTTTTCTGTAATTTGGTGCGTGTTGAGAAAAATTCAAACTTTGTCAGAAGTTGTGTCAGCTAGTCACTTTCTATGCAGCTGCTGATGCAATCTCTAAGTTATATTGATGCTTTACCAAAAATATTCTCTGAATGGTACAAAAAGCTGTATGACAGTAAAAATTTCGGTCTGGATTTGAACTAGGCAACTAATATATTTCTGAATTTTATTTGGAATAAATACAGTAAGAGTGTCATTGTCTCTTTGACAGAGGGATTTGAAACCTCACATCTTATTCACAGTGCACGAGTGGTAAAAGTATGTGAATGGATTTAGTACTCACTCATTGAGGGTTTCTTTCTGACCACAGAACTGCCCATAGCTGTCAGTTGGATATATCACTTTCCTGGGGTCACCGTGCACCCAAGCTGCAAAATATATACATACCTCTTAACCTTTTAGTCAAGTGTACACAGTTAATAGTTAAAACTAGATAGCATGAAAATGTATCACTTCTAATGTACCATTTTACTGTTTGTTGATCACCACTGAAGAGTACTGATTAGTTTATTTCCTAATGAAAAACTAAAATGAACCAAGATATGGATGAATCAGTAAAAAAGCCACTTCACTTTTTACTTCAGGGTATATATATCTGGGTGGTATCCAAAATATGTAATGATATAATGGACTTATAAAATAATGGTTATTAGAAGAGTAAAGAACAGGAGCTAACTGTGTAGACAAATCTGAGTGTTCACAGACAATGACGCTGGCATTGAAGGGAACCTTCCACTACACCAGGTTGCTCCAAGTCCCATCCAACCTGCCTTTGAACACTCTCAGGGGTGGAGCAGCCACAGCTTCTCTTGGCAACGTATGCCAGTGCCCCATCCTCACAGGGAAGAATTTCTTCCCAACATCACACCTAACCCTGCCCTGTCAGTTTAGAAGCTATTCTCCCTTGTCCTGTCACTCCACGTCCTTGTCCAAAGACCCTCTCCAGCTCTCTTGGAGCCCCTTTAGACACTGGAAGGGACTCCTAAAGTTTCCCTGGAGCCTTCCCTTCTCCAGGCTGAACACCTCCAGCTCTCCAAGCCTGTCTCCAGATCAGAGGTCCTCCAGTCCTTGGAGCATCTCCATGGTCTTCTCTGGACTCACTCCAGCAGGACCACATCCTTCTGATATTGGGGGCCCCAGAGCTGGCAGCACTGCTGGTGAGGTCTCACCTGAGGAGAGCAGAGGGACAGAATCCCCGCCTCACCTACTGGCCACACTTCTTTTGACATAGTCCAGGGTATGGTTGGCTTTCTGGACTGCAAATCCACATTGCTGGCTCATGTTCAACCTCTCATCAACCAGCACTCCCAAGTCCTTCTCCTCAGGGCTGCTCTCAGTCTGAACTGTTTACTTCTAGCTTTTACTGTCTGATTAACGACAAATGAAATTTTCCATCACAGTTACTTTATGATTGCAAATTTATCAAACCATGGTATTTTTTTGAACACATTTAATTTTGAGGTTTTTTATCAGAACACACATGGCTTTGAACTTCCTAAATACCTGCTGGAAAGCAGCTCTTCAAAGAAGTACCGGGGGGGCTGGTGAACAAGAAACTGTCCCTGACCAGCAGTGTGTCCTGCAGGTCAAAAAGGCCAGTCGAATCTTGCAGTACACCAGGAAGAGCATTGCAGGTCAGGGAGGGGATCCTGCCCCTATGCTCAGCCCTGTGAGGCACATCTGCAGTGCTGTGTCCAGTTCTGGGCTCCTCAAGACAGGAAGGAAATGGAGCTCCTGGAGCAGATCCAGAGGACGCTGCGGAGATGATGAAGTGACTGGAGCATCTCCCTTACAAGGAAAGGCTGAGGGAGCTGGGGCTGTTCAGCCTCAAGAGGAGACACTGAGAGGGGACCTCATCCATGTCTGTCAGTGTCTGCAGGGAGGAGTCAGAGGATGGACCAGGCTCTGCTCGGGGGTGCCCAGCAATGGGGCAAGAGGAACAGGAAGGAACTGATGGCCAGAAAGTTCCACCTGAACTGAGGAAGAACTTCTTTGCTGTGCAGTGACCGAGCACTGGGACACAATGCCCCGAGTGGAGTGGAGCCTCCTCACTGGAGATATTCCAGAACTCTCTGGACACAGTCCTGTGCCATGGGCTCTGGGCTGACCCTGCCGCAGCAGGGAGGTGGGACCAGGTGAGTCATTGTGGTCCCTTCCAGCCTGACCCATTCTGGGATCCTGTGAATTACAATGTTAATTCATTATTTGCTTCTATGAAAGACATTTCTTATTGATTGGAAAGCTTTGCATAAATATAAGCAAAAGGACATCTCAGTTAAAAATGCTAACATTCACAAAGCTGCTTCCCTTCTGTATAGAAAAGCACTACTATACCTGTGTTTACTTACCCACAACTCCTAATGCAATGTAACCCAGAATGACAACTATGAAGATCACACAGCAAATAACGTCTGTGCAGTGTCTAGGGACAAAAACAAACACACTCTGAAATAAGGTGTTTAATACGACCCTTTGAAAACACTGATGTCATAGGGTACTTTAACATCTGAATAAGTTGTCCACACCAGCACTTAGCAGAAGTCTTACTTACAAACTCACATTTGAGATGTGAGGTCCTGTTTTTGCAGCAAGACAGCAAATAAATGTGCATGCCTTTCTCATGGTAGATAGCAATAAGAACAGATTTAAGTATTGTTGAAACATAATACCTTACAACATTGAACCCATGAGATTACTCATGGTATAACCTGCTACAGGATATCTGCCTCAGAACACACCACTTGTGGCATCTGCCATTCTTTCTGTTTTCCAATCTATGTTTCCTCTTACAAAAAACCACTATGTTTTAACATAAAGGAGATAAAAGGGCAGATTTTTTAAACAGCTGAAGAACCTGCAATGCATCAAGTGTGGAAAGGAATCAAAAATCCTGTACACTTCTCTAGAGAGCCACAGCTTTACCATCTCACTAAAATAAACTTTTAGTGAGGCTGAAGGGGTACAGGACTCAAGGCCAATATGACAGTAACCTAAGAAAGGACAACTGCTCAAAGTACAAGGAGTGATGCTAAAATAATGCTTCTCGTTTTCCCATCCTCCATTCAGAAGCAGTTCTGACACTGCTCAAGCTTGGCTCTCATCCCACTAGAGCCGTTTCTAAAGGTACAATATTTATTTCAAGAGTCTCAGGAAAAATATGGCACCATAAATACTTTAATTACAACTTCTATAGTCTCAAAAACCTCTTCCAGTTCAATTCTCACAGGTCTCATTTTATGATACCTAAATGCAATTAAAGGTTATACCCATTTGCGTTAAAAGGTTCCTTTTAAAGTTTTGCTGAGTTACAAGTACCCATAAACACTTTACCAGAATGCAGGATTTTATGTTCTTTGTAATACATGAATTTCTGTGCAATATCTATTAAAACTCACTGTTGCCAAATACTATGGTTATATAACTATTAAGAAAAAAAAAGTACGTACGTATTTTTTTGTGTGACTTCAGAAAATTTTGAAACAGTTCATAAAGACTAATTGTTGTTTATGCAAAATAACTGCTTATTTTACTAGATATTACGGGTGAAACCCTGGCCCCATTTAACATCATTATTAGCTCATGTAGCTCACTTCCAGTGAGATCATAACAGTAACTCATAAATACAAGGCTCCACAGGAGAGGAAAAAAGGTAAAGCTTCTTAAATTAATAAATTAAAATAAATTTGTAAAGACACATGGTTATAGGGTGAAGACTATGGGAGTTTCCAAAGTTGCAGGAACTGGTTCTTCCTTAATAGGAGATATTGAAAGCCCATGCTTATTACTGAAACCTAATCAGAAATTATCCAGCCTTTTTTGCTTTCCACCATCTCTCAGAAACATACTGGCTTCTTGGCTTCTCTTGCTTTGTTACATGTGGCAGTGCATGCAAAGAATACCTTGTGCATGTGTAATGGCATCCTAGCAAATAAATTAATGCAAAGATAAAATCATCCACAGAGTATTAGTGCATAAAAGCCATTTATTCACTGACAGCTCATGCACTTAATCGTTAATGACTGACTAGAACCTCTCTCTGTTTGGCAGTTTCATGCCCAATCTGTCACGAGTACAACTGTGCTCAAGATGCTGCATAAGCAAGAAACTATGACATTTATTAGTTAAACAGCACTAGCAACTACAAATAGTCTCGAGCCCAGCACTGTGCAACCACACAGAGCAAAAGGAGGCTCAATACGTTCACAATGTGACTTTCACGTTACCCCTTTCAACTCTGCTGACTTAGAGGAAGGTGACCACTGATGTCCTCACTTCTGAGTTCCTCCTTCCTAGTTAACTAACAACTTGTGTTTTGAGGCTTCCCTAAGTCATGTTGTGTCGAGGTGATGTTATACTATGCCATACAATGTCATGAATAGCTATGAAGATCCCTTTCTCCACTGGGGCTGAAATGAGAAGGAAGATATGCTGTACAAGTGGTTAGTTACCAACATTTATCTATGACAGACTCTTACTGTAATCTAAGTAGCATCTTTAGCAGGCTATTTAGTTTAAAAAGCACAAAGGATAATTAGATGTCAAACCTGCTTATTATTTTAATGTAGGCCACATTATCAAATGATGTGCCATGTAGATATTTATTAGTAACAAATCTACATTTGTGAGAAAGTGAAATTTGTATTGCTAGTTAAGATCAATATTTTTATTAGATTTTTTCAAATTCTTAAATAAGGTAGCTAAATGGTTATGGAAATGTACTGATAATCAATTTATGTGAGAACCCATTAACTACATTTTCTAATCACAGAGAAAAAGATGATCTTTGTCTTAACAAGAATACTGAATTTTTAGAAAGATGTTGAACAATTAAAGATAGTCCAAGAAGTGTCAGGATAAATAAAGTAATAAGAGAAAATCTCTACAATATGTCTAACCAGCAAGAGGAAAATGAAAAAAAAAAACTTTAAGACTTGGTTTTCTGGTTTTCAGGGGTTTGGTGGTTTGGGGGATAGCTTGATGAACAACCTCAAAATATCATTTCTACTCTACAGCACTTTCAAAACTGCATCAGCTTCAGCAGTCACGATGATGGGATGTGATCTTTTCCAGCTGTCTTGCACCTTTCAATGCCAATATGTACAATTAGCAGCCCCTAGACACCCACCCTCTCCATTTTTCCATAATGAAGACAAACTTTTTCCCTGACCAATGAAAACTGACAAGAAATCAAGCACAGGACAATATATTTTATCACTGGAAAGCAAATACAGGTGTTTCCCCACCCACACTGTACACAGTTATACCAGTGACAGCAAGGTGTACAAACAGTCATGTCCCCACTCACACATTGATTACTAGCACTCATTTGTCTCAAAAAAAATGCATGCTATCAGCTTCCTAGAATCTCTTCTCCCACAGGCAAGTGGGAAGCTGCAAAGTCAGAAACAAATTCAGAGAAGATTCCCATTTTCCTCCTTTTGAACTCTTTTAAGTATCTTCTTAGAAGGCATTTTGTTCATAGGAACTAGATAGTCTTTATTTGCTTGAGAGTGGTTTCCTAATCATTTAATCTTAGTAACTGGAAATAATTAATTAAGAAAACTCCATTCATTGTATTTAAGAAAAATCAATAATAATCTTAAACTACTTCAAGGCCATGTCTATAGTGTACTGTACACTGCTGCACTGATCACCTTAAGAGGTCAGGCAAGTCATTTGAGTATCTTGAAGAAAGGGATATTGAATCTAAACACAAGTGCACCTCATTGCATGTATGCTCAATAAGCATCAATGTACCTACCACTTTCTTATGGTCTGCTGCACAATGAACCCACACTTTATACTTAGGTAACTGATCTTTTCTATATTGTTTCCAACAATACTATCTCACCAAAGCATTATAAAATGCACTGAACATATGTGGTGGTATAGTAGTGTTGCATTGTATTCATTTGGTTGCATTTTTAAGCAGACACTGGAATGTACAATTAGAATAGCACATAAATATACCTGCAATTGCAGGTACTGTATTGCTGTCACTATACAGAAACAACTACACAGATGTAACAGCAAGCCACAGTGCAAAACCAGTTTTTACTGACTACATCACACAGTAACAGCACAAACAAGAGAAGTTCCCTGGCATACCAGCACCAGTTTCAGCACTCCTCATGCATGTGAAAGGCACAGTAACAGACTGCTCAAAAAAAAATACTACTGAATTGCAATATTTCAGGTTCCAACTCTGCAGTCCACAGAATCCTAGGTAGTCTCACTCACTTCAGAGATACTCTTCATGCATGCAAAAACTGGTCACTCAAGTAAGGGTTTCAGGCCTGAGTGGCAGCAGTGACAGCACAGTGACACATCACTGACAGTACTTCACTGCTGTCACTCAATCACCACTGATTTCCTGCCAGGGATTTACCTGCTGGCCAGCCACAGTACAAATGTCATGGCACATGACCAGGCCATTCTCCGGAGAGAATTAATTCCCCTGGTGAGGTGACTACGGGAGCAGGAAAACCAGCTGCAAAGTGAAGAATAGAGTGTGATGGGGTCCAGTTCTGTGCTGTTTGGAAACAAGACAGTCTGCATCACATGGCTGTAGCACCCCAAAACATAACAGAAGCTGAAATGGTCCTACTTATATCAGCATATGGCAAGACAGCAGGTACTAGTCAACGCAAGGCACACCGAACCGGCATTCAGACTGAAAGAACTTCAGAGCACACAGTTTAATACTCCCCAGTAATCATGCATCCTCAAGGGGAGTAAAGATGGTCTCCTGGATTTAGAAGACGTGCAGAATCAAATTCAGAAGTTTTGCTAACAAAATTTTTTATTCACTGTTCACTGCAAACCAAAAGAATGTAACAGAATGAGCAACAATATTTACCTGTTGTGAATAGGTCCTCTGAACTTCGGGTCAAATTTCCTTGGTTCACCTGCATTTAAAATAAAACAGTATAAAAACATGCCCTTATTTAAAAAAAATCTGTTCAGAGAGGGATGTTAACTCCAATCCTTTGAAAAACATGTTCCACATATTCCTATTTAATCAGGGGTTTTTTTATAATTTCATTTGGGCAGTATCAGTAATTCACCAATATAATTACCTAGCTTTTGTGTATGAGATCAAAGCTTTTTTTCTTCTACCTTAAAAATATTGAGGGCCTTACATTTACCATATGATAAATTACCTTTATTGTATATCCTATGACTACACCTACGCACAGGGTTCACAACATATTTGAGACAAGGATTATGTCTCACAGTCACATGCTAAGTGTGTTTGACAGTGAGTGAGTGAACCTACCTCACTGGAGTTACAGGCTAAATCCTTCTGATTCTTCTCTAGAATCACAGAATGTTAAGGGGTTGGAAGAGAATTTATAGATAATCTAGTCACTGCAGCCAAGGTTGCCTTGGAGCACTACATTCTTCACCAGCAGAAGAACAGTCTGGAGCCATGTCTGTACTTAATGTTATACTTAATGTTACATATATACTTAATGTAATTAATGTACTTAATGTTATGAATCCTGAAGAGTTTTCTTACTTCCCACTGCTTTGGTTACAGGACTTTATAAGAGATGCAGGTTTGCCTTTTTTGGATCGGGCTTATCAGATGACAAAGCATGGATGGAGACTGCAGAAATGTCATGCTGATTTTGCTCTGCACTACCCTGCATGGGTGGTATAACTGCAGCAGCTTCTGCAAAGCCAGAGATGAGGTACAGTGCTGCAGAGCAGCCAGAAGAGCACGTGTTTCAAGCACCTTCTCTAACTCTCAAGTGGGTGAACCCATCACACATCCCTGTGCAGGACGCAAAACAAGTTTTGAAGTTGGTTATTCATACATCTCTGAGATTGTTGCTTTCTATGACTCTCAGAATGACAAGAAGGTGAAGTCAGGTTCCTCCTAGAAACAGGCAGTAACATCAGGCCAGACCTTACAGATGGAAAGAGTCAAACGTGACACATTTTTTTCATGTGGCTATTCTGGCTAGCACAGTTCCAACTGGTTCACTCTGCGCATAAGCAAACTATATTAAGAAACTCCCAAATACTTACTCACCAATCTGTGCTGCCAATGTGGACTGGAATAAGATGAATTACAGTAAAATCTCATTTGGTAAAGAGTAACAAAAATTTATGGTCGAATTTAAATTTTCAAGTTTTGAGCTACTGTATGAAAAGAAAGAAGCCGTTCTCCATTTGGCAGACCAGAATTTGGATTTTTCCTTTTGGAGATAGCTATTCAGTTTTATGGGATTTTTTTTTTAAGTTTGGTAATTATAGAGATTTACTGAACCAAACTTCATGCAAGGAAAAATCACTTCTTCATTCAAATGTCAATGCTGCAATACAAATTACTGTTTCAGAGTGCTTTTTCACTGCCTTCTTAAGGATCTCCTCTTCTGAATATACCTGGTATTAAAGGGTGTTACCAGCCTAAATCTTACCCCACCCATAGAAAAATATCTATTTTCTAAGAGAAGAATTCAGCAACTTCTCAAAGGCAGAATTTACTTATTAACTAAATGCCAGACTTTGTTCTGGGTTTATATAAAAAAAACCTTATCAAAATCCACACAGACCAGTACAATAAATACAGCAGATAATAAAATTCTATTTGCCCTTCATCTGAGGTGTTCAGGTCTACCTTAACAACCTCCTACAACAAATATATTTTAACACAGAAGAGACTGATAAAGCTGAAACTTCGGAGAAGTGATGTATGACAGCAACACCAGGGAGTGGAAGAAGTAATGCTGTGACACAGGTGCCCACCATGGTCCAGGAAGCAAGTGTACCATATACAATACCTAGTGCTGGGCCAACACCCATATATTGAAAAACCTTTTTGAACAGGAATTTCTACAAAACAAACGTTTCTACAAAATAATTTATCTCCGGAACAAATCAGAGTCTGTAACATCACTCCCGATGGATAGGTTCTGGCCTTAAGGCATACTGGAGTGAGCCTCTGTTTATTGCTCATACAGGACACCCAAGCTGAGCACGTAAGAACAGTCACACCAGATCACAAAAAAAAACCCCAAAAATTTCATTGAACCCATATCCTGTATGGGGGGCCATATCTGAGAAGAAACATCGCGGTATTTCCCTAAAACTGAGATTACAGAGATTTGCAATTTCACTTTTCTTAACTAAAGGTAGTGACTTTGTATTTAATAGCTGTGAGTTAATTTCTTTCTCATTCATTTCATAAATCTCTATTTAACTTGCATATACTTTAACAATCTGCAATGCCCTATATCACAGAGTACTACAGGTTAATGAACCATTGAAGTACTACCTCCTTTTGTCTGTTTTAAGCTTGCAATCAGTCATCTTATAACTGTATTGTATAACGTGGCATCATGGCATGCTACCAATAATTTTACAAGTTATTATATTCCCCTTTACTTGTCCCAATCTGTTCAAATGTTTCTTGTACATAAGCCATTTCATAGATTTGGTTATGCTATACTCCCTTTCTGTACCTTTTACAGTGCTACTATAGATCACTTAAAAAAGGAAGGGCCAGAACTGCACAGGACACTCACACAAATGTGATTTATACAATCCTATAATGATTCTTTTTATCTGACCTCAGTCCATTTCTAACAATTCGTTCTTACAGTCTGCTTGCTTCTCAGGGCAAACATTTTCACTGAGTCATCCATTAAGACTCCAAGTTCTCACTCATACAGCAGTTAGCTCAATCCCACAACTGGATGGAAGAACCTATCCTTCAAAGCTATTCAATGTTTTCCTTAAAAATTTGAACAAAGAAGTAGAATGAACACTTTGAAACTAGGCAGGTGACAAGTGTTAAAATACTTCTGGAATCAGAATCAAGTGGATTTTGATAAACAACAATTCAAAATTATTTTTGTAAACTAACAAGAGTTATAAAAACATACTCCATTCAGAAATCCATATAGAATAATTGCTTTCAAAAACACTGTTGAGAAGAATACTAAAGGATTACAGCATACTACAAACAGAGAATGAGTCAGTCAAGCTATGTTTGCAAAAAAGCACCACTTCTTCAAGAAGTGTGACCATGACTCATGAAGCCACTGTTCCTTGTGCCTGGGGACACGAGGCCTCAGATGAACAACTATTTCTAGCTCATGGACCTAGAATGTCAGAAGATACAAACAAACTGGAGAGAACAGAGGGACTAAGAGGTTTGGTCATGGTGGCGTGGTGCAGTGCAACATGGCTCAAACTGCTTTGTCACTGAGCTCTTGGTATAAATCCATTACAGAATATACATTCTAAATTAGAAATACTCTAAAATTCACTGTCAGAAGTAGCAGGTAGCGTCCCTGGAACATTAATTACCAAAACATGACACAGCTGATCACAACTGTAATCAGTTTCAAGGAAGAACAAAGAAAAATGCTGTTTGTTTCATCTCATTTTTCTGAATTAGATATCAAATTCCCTACTTAATTACTACTATTCTTTAAAAGTTCAGAAAATTCTTTGGGTTGATGTGGAAATTATTTATGCTACTAGTATCCATATAGCTCCTGGTAAAAGCAAACCACTATCCTTGCTACAAAAAGCCCAAGTGTATTTAGAAAGCAAATTCCAAGCATTAGGAGTTTGGTAGGCATAAGGAAGAAAGCAGTGGTGAAGGATGACTGACACTTTTTTTGCTAAGATTAAAAACTGAGATTATATTCGTTCTTTGCAGTTGAGGCAGATCTATTTCACAGGCTGCTTTATAATAGGAAACTTTCGTGTGTTGAAGTATGTCATTACAAGAAATAGCTCGTTTCATTTACCAATTCTGACTGCAAACAGCATCTGAAGTTAATTGCTGTAGTAATTTGAAAAAGCAACTCTAAACTACTTACCTAAAATAAAAATGTACTATATATATGTAAAATTTACCTTTGATGTGCAATTTAAATGAACTAGCAAATGTCATGCCAGAAAAAGTTAGAATATTGCTAATAATTGAAGAAGTTAAAGAAAACCATCTGAGGCTGGGTCTAAGCCTATTAAAGTCAACTGAAATAACACAGTTCAAATATGTGAGATTTTGATCAGGTGCTCTGAATTGTCATAAGAAAGCAAGTAAATTACCATGTTTTCCATAGTAGTTTTCTTCATCTCTATCCATGTTACTGTACCTGGATCACTTGAGCAAACTGTCGGTGTGAGATACTGACCGTGGACTCCTGTGCTGCTAGCACAATTTCCCCAGCAAGCACAGACACACAAAAATACTATTTAAATAGATTTAAAAATAAAGCTGATTGTCACGGACTTCTCCAATCACAACAGAAATTCACAAAGTAGGCAGGCCTTTCTGTGAATAGAAAGTTATCACTCAGTGCTTTTCCCACCTCCCCAAGCCAGTCTGATAGCCAGTCTGAACACAGAGGAATGACTCTTATCAGTTTGTGTTAACCTACACTATTAACCTAACGTATAAGCAAAAAGGGAAACATCTGTACTTGAATACCATTTGTAAAATAAACATATGGAAGCCAATACAACCAAAAAAAACCTGATGATTTGCTGAAAATAAGGTATCACACTGTTGGCTACACTTTTGTACTACCATGACAGTAAATAGTCTTCACGTGCCACAGGTTGCCAAACCTTTCCTCCTCATACACTTGACTAGGTCCCACAAAGTTCAAGTCATGCAAGTCTAAAATGTAAACTGTCTGCTGTACATCAAATTTCCAATCTTGTCAAGTGGAAAATTTGTCTGTAGAAGTAGTAATAATTTACTGAATTATTTTCATAATAAAACATACTTTTTATATTTCTGCACAGCACAAAGGTGCAGAACAGAGGAGCCAGCAGTAAAAAGTCTCAGCATTGTTACTTTAGATACTGTAATGCCTATATAGCAAAATGAAGTACAAGGCATTATAGTCAGCATGTAAATCCAAAAGCCTGAGGC